TGGCGATGTGATTTTTTTCATGTTCGACGGCTCAGAGGCTCAGAGCCCCCCGTCACTAACGTTGGGTGTTGGGGACTTCGTGCAGCGATTCTGTGGCTGCCCCACTTGATAACGGAAATGAAAGGTATAAGTGGGAAAGAAGAGTGAAATGGGTGAGCAGTGCAGTGCATGCCCTTCTGAACTAGTACTTGCCTGAGCAAACAAAGTACCGCCGACTCCTCGCATCTTACATCACTGACAACTCTTCATTACTAGATGTTCGGTTCCAAGTTCCAACATGCAATATTCGGACGGCATCACCGTGACGCCACCCACATGATTATTCAGGTTTCATCGTTTATGACCACTCTTGTTTAGTGTTGCTGCGAAGCGAATCGAAGTGGAGATTACACTTCAGTAGACTTCGATGTCGACGAAAACTCTTTGGAACAATGACTCGGAAGTCCACCAAAGTCTCACATTTTCGAAGCGATCAAAGCGAAGTTGGCGGCAACACTCCACGATAGGAAAATCGAATCTGCCAGAATTTGTTCTAAAATCTAAAATATTATTCATGTGCGCCAGTAATGGGTTTCATCGTAACATAGTAAATACGAGGACTCGCCTTCGGTCGGCTGCCGGCCCTCATTCTGTGCTCATGAAGTTACGAAGGCGTAGGTGCCATTCAACGTATTTACAGTAGCAAATAACCATGTCAGAAGGTCCTATTGTGATGTCTTTGACAGTCACAATGCACCGATCTCCAGTCAAAGGAGTTTTGCTGAAGCGTGGATGGCTTTGAGGATAGTAGCAGTGCATTCGCATATTCTGTTGCGGCCCAGCAACATATCAAGAAATTTCCATATCAAACCCATTCTCCTGTTTAACAGAGAAAGTACTGCGCGAAACTTTACCTGCTATGACGACTGTCGGAAAGGCGCGAGAGCCGTCAGGAAGAGGTTGTAAGTCCTAGACAAATCAATGAAAGAGATAAAAAGGATCACACACATCGTCAGCAAAGAGATGAAGAGAGTGTGCAAATTTGCCTTTGTCGTCGATGATAGGACCAATAGTGGTCCGTGCATCCAATAGATAGATCCTGTCTTCCACAGTCTGACGCGGTATTCCGTATTCGCACCAAATGTGAAACGTTGATTCGAAAATCTCCCAGTTCTGGAGTTGCAATGAAAGCATCATAACACCAGTAATTCTTTTTGTCAATCTGGTATCTGCTTCCGTTCTGAAGACCAACAACACCGTGAAATGAAGCAGAGGTCGCCATAGTGGTGAATGATAGAAAGGAGACAAACACAACAACACCACGCACAACACAGCATGACGCAGAAAACGGATAGAGCCGCGAAAAACCAAATGGCTTGACATGTGACAGTCCCTTCGCTTTTTGCACCCATCCTTTGGACTTCCTGAAGGGGTCCTGTCACAACCTGATAGACAACTTTCGGTCTTCCAATTCTTGGCTTTCAAGTTTCCTGCAATCACACCAGTAAAAACATATTCGGCCCAGGAGACTTTGTGCTCGCATCAACCACGATACAAGAGACAGGCAAGATATGCCTCAAATGTCCGCCATATAGGAATTGAGTGCCTTGTAGGCAACCAAGTGAAAAGGCTGTCGAACTCCAACTCGTGTTTTCTCATTATACATACAATCAAATATGAAGCTTAAGGACAGACACTCACAAACGGGGTGAACTGTTTCGGCTTTTACATGAAGTGCCAGTCTGTGTCAACTAATCTTCACAAGTAACGATCTGTGCCGATGTTGATAATTCTAGACTACAGTCAACTCCCTTAGCCTTAGTTTCGTATTTCCTTTGCGCTTGTTCGCATCCAACGATGCTGCAGTGTGCCTTTCAATGCAGGGTCATGCCATTGTCGTAGCATGGTGTAGGCATTTGCGATACTATAATTGTCTCGCACTTGTCAACTATTACTAGGAAATCAAACTCGGAATCGATCTTGTCGACTGGACTGTACAGACCTAAGGATAAAGGGCTACATGCACAGTATTAGCTAAAGAATGTTCACGATAGTTTCGAGCAAGCCTTTCGCCAGGTCAATGCAAACCAGGGGGTTGATGTCACAGTGACGCCTAGCAGCTGACTTGCGTTATCATCCTGCGACCCCTCAGTATAAGAAGAGGCGTGCTTGGTATTTGGATCATTCTATGTCAAAATCAGCACACTGTGAAACTCTCAGACATGCCATGCCTTCTCAAGCTTCTGGATCCGAGGGTCCCAGCGAAGCTCCAGAAGGAAGAACAAAATAGATTGTACTGCGGTGGTAGCACGGATGAGAACGAAATCAGGGGACAAACCTATAAACGGACGAGTGACCGTCAGGTCCGCTGCTCGCTCGTTTCATCGCACTGGATCTGCGTGGTGGGAGTGGGCTTTGATTATTGGATGCGCGTTTGCTATGGGAAAATATTTGGCTAATCTGCGTTTAATGCATGAACGTTGACACCCAATTGCAAGACGGCCGTACAAACCGTTATCAGAGAGGAAAACGAAAGGTGAAGTGAGAAGAAAGTGCCAGTGTGCCGCATGGTCACTATGCATGATAATCCACAAAAGCCCGGATCTCGAGTAAAACACGCCGCTCTGTATTGCGCAACGTGATAAATTGGCGACTGGGGTAGTAATCAGCCATATACGCCAGTCACGGTGGGATAATACTTCGACCGCTCTCGAGAGTCTAGGCTTGACGTTAATCGGTGTCCTCGAAGTTGACGTTATTCCTGTTCTTGGATTGCAACGTGAGGAATGTGCAACTGTCCATTGTCTAGAGAGTCTGGCTGACTCTGATCAGCAAGTTTGGACTCTTTCATATCATAGGTCATGTCGACGTTCGAATTGAAAAGTTGGCACTTAAGTAGAGTGAGAGTAAATTACCACAATAAGCCTGTATCCGCTGTCAAGCTACAGATTACCCCCTCGCATGCAAGCGCCGTTGCAATTCGATGTCCGTTGCAGAACCCAAGCGCAATCAAGCCAAGCAGAAGCAGAAAGATCCCAAGCCCCAGGTTCCAGCCAATGCAACTGAACGCCTGAAAACCATCATACGCCGTCTACCCCCCAATCTCCCCGAAGAAATATTCTGGCAGAGCGTTCAAACATGGGTCACGGATGACTCTGTTTCTTGGAAAATGTATCATGCCGGGAAGTTGAGCAAGAGGTGTGTTTTATTACTGTATCCTTGCGGCGTGAGTGACTGATTCAGTGCTGTGATGTGTTGGCAGGGCAAACCAGGAGAATGTCTCTTCGCGTGCGTATATTGCATTCAAGAATGAGGAGGTGCTCGCGACGTTCAGCCGTGAATACGATGGTCATCTCTTCAGGGACAAGGCAGGTGTGTGATAATTGAGCATAGCGCAGTTGCAGTCAAGTGATCTTTGCTGCAGGCAATGAGTCTCAGGCAGTAGTGGAGTTCGCTCCGTTCCAGAAGATACCCTCTGAGAAGAAAAAGACCGATGCGAGAAACGCAACGATCGATAAAGGTGCGGTTGGATCAGCGGTGAAATTCCCATCGTACTCAAATGATTTATAGATGAAGATTACATCTCTTTCCTCGAAGCGCTCAACAACGCCGAGAAATCCGAGCATACGTCCCTTGAAGCATTGAGTGAGGATCGCGTGATATATAGTAACATTATTTCTGATGTTATTTTATGATCAGTTGCAGCATCTCAACCACCTGCCGCTCCAAAAACTACGCCTCTCCTTGAAGCACTGAAGGCAGAGAAGTCAGCTCAGAAGGACAAGGAAGCCATCCTCCGTAACCATGCACACTACAAGGACATTTCTATCGCATCTGCTGCCAGGAAAGAAGAGGTGAAGAAGAAAGCTGCTGTCCCTGCTACAGCATCGCAGAAGCAGCCCGAAGCCAAACCTGCTCCACCCCTCAGCCGCAAAGCGAAGAAAGCCGCTGCTGCGGCCGCGGCCGCACAGCAGACTGGTCCTCCTGCCCAGACCGCGCAAACGACTCCTGCTGCATCGAAAGGCGCCTCTGCAGGGCATGCTAATCTGCCAGCCAAGCCTCCTCCACAAGCACCCGCTGTTCCTCGACAACGCCGCTCCTCGCAGACTCGTCAACAGGTGCCCAAAGTGCTCGCTGCATCTCTCCCTCCTAAACCAGCGGTACAGCCTGCTCCTGCCAGTGCAGAGGCCGCACCACCTGCAAGCAGTCGCAGGGGACGTCCAGTCGTTGGTCTGGGACGGCATTTCGAGGCCGCTTTAAATGGCGCGGTCGGCCCCAGCGGAGGAAAGAAACGCGAGAAAGATGCTCAACCGGCTCCCACGAGAGAGGCTGTGCAAAAAGATGTTCCGGATAAACCTAAGGATACCTTTGCATCGTCTTCTCCCAGCCTTGCTGTTCCCAGTATTTTGCAGCGCGGGGATGGACACGCTCCTGGGAACCCTATGATTATGCAACGCCCTCAGCCCAATCAAGTTCCTCAAAGTCCTCCTACTGCTGATTCGCATGTTGGCAGAGGGGGGGCACAGAGGAGAGGGCGTGGCAGAGGTAGGGGGGCTCCTCGTGGTGGCTAAGTGCAACGTCATCAAGTATACAAGCCTACTTTTTGTCCGCCATAAACGCCACCGCGAGGCTGGTGGAGATCCTTTGAGTTGCGCTGCACGGTTCATTGCAACATACTTGGAATCCAGTCGGGCCACCACAAGCAGTGACAGTCGTGTATGTTCACTTCGCGCTAGCCCAGCACCAACCTCTTGCAGCATGACAGATACTTTTACGAATCCCTTTGAGTAGATTTCAATGTTGGTAGTCAGACCCAGTACCTGCATGCATAGTGTTTACTAGTTAATCAGCAATCGAAATCACTTGTTCCGTTCCCATTATAACAATATTTCTACTGCCAGGCTATATTGACACAGAACCTTGTGTATAAGAGCAGCATCCCATCATAGTAAATGAGTTCAGGTATATCCAAATTCCGCTATAAAATATCCATTGAAGGAAGTCAAATCAAGATGAGATAATCACAAAAGCATTGCCCCGAGGAGAGATGCAGCAGCACCAACGAAGCATGTAATACCAGTGATGCCAATCTTGCCAGCGGCGCCAGTCTTGGTAGCAGTGGCTGAAGTTGAAGTGGATGATTGTGAGCCAGAAATGGAGACAACGGAGGACGTGGAAATGGTTTTCATAGATCCAGAAGCACTGGAAGTTCCAGTTGCAGTTGCGGTTGCAGTTGCGCCAATAGGTGCTGTTGATTGCCCGTTAATTTCAGCTTGCACAGTAGAGTTGAACGTTCCGGTCATGCCAGTCATCCTGTAGCGCCCGTGGTGAGTTATCTTTGACGAAACATGAAAATTACTCACGTGAATTTAGCAGAAAAGGCCTCCGCAGGGAATTGAGAGTTCGTAGCATCTTTCAGGTTGATTGATGTAAAGCGAACAAAACTGGAAAGAGTTGAATCGACCTGGCCTTGAACAAGACAGAGCGGGTTTCTTACTATTCATTGCTGTCTGGTCCGATGGTCCCATCGGGGGTGAAATTAATCGACGAAGTGGTCGACACGTCAACGCTGGAGCTGATAGTTTGGAGTAATGTCTGGCAAAAATAAGACTGTTGTCTTGTTTACTTCAGACTGATAACTGACCTGTTGGTTGGCGTTACCAGTGTAGATACCAATGAGAGAAGCACCGAAAGAAGCGAGGTTCGGAGACAGGCCATCGTCTTGCCAGTTGACAGTCGCCTGCTGACCAGCGGTAAAAGTGGTACTTGCAACAGGGGAGGTGATCTTCACAGCCAGGTGAATCGTGTCAATTTGACAATAAGAAATCTAAGAACGAATACGCACGAAGACGTTGGCGAGCGCGGAGCCCGCGAGAGCGAAAGAAATGACAGCCTTGCTAAACATTGCTTGTTTGCTATGACAAATGAGTGTTGTTCAAGAGAGTGTGGAGTGCTTGTAAAAGCAAAAGTCTATGCAGAATGATACGAAGACTAAAGAGAGAAGTCAGCAAGGCGACGACGGGAATACAGCCAACGGAGTTCGAACTTTCTATGACTTGCGCAAAAAGAATCACAGACATCCAAGCAACCGTAGGCAACCGTCTACTGTCCCGATTATCCCCTGTGCCTGGCTAGAGCAACCCGAATACTCTGCACATGCCACTCTCTCATCAGCCAATCATAGTGGTTCAATGATAAAACGGCACTCACACTCTCACATACTGTGAGCGCATGGAACGCTATATGGACTTGCCATTGAGAGAATTTTAGCTGAGCTATGACTTACGAACTATGCTTAGTGTTTAAATTTAAGCCTGTGTGATGGCAAACCACCGATGCACAATCTAACGCGACCGTGGCGACGCCGACATGCAATGCAAGTCTCACGAAGTCTCACCCATAGCAGATTAAGACTTTGTTGCAAGTTGCTTGTGAATCCGTATCCTCGCCGATGCTGACAGTCCTTGGGTCAGCTCTGAGCAGCCCTATGAGTGTCACGTCGGTTCGACGTGTCTTGTTGACGTGTTTAGCGCCATGCAATGAGGTGATGATGCCATGATGGTCGTAAACGGTAAAGTCCATACTGGCTGGCTTAGGCCGGCGGGCGCACCAAACAAAAATGTTGTGCCTGAATTATGTACATGTCTCGTCTGACATTCGTGTGGACGAAATGATTATGTAAGTAAACTTGACGTAGGTTGAAGACCGTCCACGTACAAATCCACGTTTGATTGGGGTTTTTCCTTTATTCCAAAGTTCGGTAGAAAGGCCTTCATCGGGGCGGGATTGACTGGTGTAATGATTCAAACGACGGACAGCGACAAATAAGGTCCACCCATGAAATGACATGACATCTATTTTTCACACGCAAACACAATAGTACCCGTTCGATTACTCCGGAGAGTCGAAAACAGTCCGCATGACATGGTCTACTTTTCTCCCAGTATGCTTGATGAATCCGAGGTAATCTAGCTCCTGAAGGGCGCGGATGAACCGGGCTTGTACCTCCACGAGCCACTCCTCTTCATCTTCTCCCGCGTCCTCACCAACGACCTCATCCTCTACCTGCTTGTGTTTTCCCTTCTTCCTCGACGGTGTCCTAAAGGTTCCATCTGCACCATCAGGAATACGGGTCTTTTCAACACGCCGCTTCCGGCCTTCCAAGAAGACTACGAATGACTGAAACCAGTCATAGACATTGATCATCTTCGCGCTTTCCAGGTAGCCCTTAAATAGGATACTTATGTCGGGCAGGTCGTCATCCTCGTCATCCCCATTCCGTTGTTCGCCAGACACGTAGTCTTGGGGATGGATCAATCCCGCGAGGATGGATGCGCGAGGCGACGGATTGATCAGCTGAAATAAAAATGAGAGAGCGAATTAGCTTGCATCCATTTTATAACAAGCAAGGGTACCTCGGACGGAAATGGCGTCGAGCCGGTGTACCAGATGTCCCATAACGGAACATCTTCCAGTGCAACTATGCGTAACCTGAGGATCATAAACTTTAGATCAATCAACTGCAATGATAACTGCGGTGCATACTTGAAATAATCTGACAACCAGTTTCCGAGCAGATCGGATATCTCCTGGGCGTTTTCTTCCCGACAGAACATCTTATATGCTGTTTCTACGCGCGAAATGACTTCGTCTTCCTCCGCTTTCACGTCCTCAGGAACATTCTCGAAGAAATCATGTACTTCTTGCACAAAGTCCTCGAGTTGCGCTGCCGGAAGATTCCTACAGAGATCAGCAACAGCTAGCTACCCCCGTCGGGAGTGCAATCAAAATTCACACACCTGACTATCGAACACAAATGACCGTATACACTGCCCAGGCGGCCTCGCAACGCCAAACACATCAAATCAGGCATCGTTTGGTCGCTCTGAACGATCTTATGCTCATGCACCAGCATAAATCGGCGGACAAGGAGCACAAGCCGAAATGCTACACGGAACAACTTGGCGCACATTCGGAAAGTATCGCGTGCAGTCTCCACAGAAGATAGGAGTAAATCGACAGTGGCATTTCGCCAACTGGTAGCGTGTTCTACGGGTGCAATAAGCGCCGATCTGTGCACCTGAGCAAAAAGGGCATCAAGGAAGGGGAAAGCGTCAGGCGTGAGGAGCAGTCTTGAAGCATCCTTGGACCGTCCTAACGCTTGAGCAGGAACGAGGACGCTGAGGGGCTCTTCAAAATGTTTCATGTGAGCCAACTATTACTTGCGTTAGTTATGGACTATTACAGGAAGGAATAACTTACTTGAAGTATGGATAATAGACCGTCAAGCGACGAAGTGTGACGAGTAAAAAACTCGACTACGAAGTCGATGGTTGTCGGGCCAATCATGATATCTGGCTCAAACACAGGATCAAAAAATGTCTTGAAAAGATTCTGTTAGTGTCTTCATGGTGACATCAAGTTTTGATCAACCTCCAATAAAATGTCGTGCAGTGATTTTTCAGCTAGCGGGAATGGGCAGTCTCTCACTCGCAGCAATGCCAGCATAGAGTGAGGGTACGTGGCACGAATATAAGACGGGGAAGGGGGTGAAGCCAGCGCGAGGATAAACACCAGTGGTAGGCATGGGATGTGTAAGCTAAGTAATATTAATATTTGGTAAGAAGACAAGTATCAGCAAGAGCTGTCTGACCTGCAAATTTCAAACATGTCTTGAACCACCTGAGGCTCTAGTTGTTCAAAGTCATGCATTACAATTACCAGACGTGACCTGTGGTGACGATCGTCTTTTAATTTCACTCAGCGAATAGCGGGAACGGGATCATTCAAGCTCTTTACCTCGCGCATTACATACGGCTCGATACCATGCCTCGAGAAGAGCAATATCATATGCTGCTAGAGAGGCAGATGGCTTGCGTTTCATGTCTGAAGGTATTGAAACATTGATAAATTAGATGGTCAAAGAGGCGTGTGCAAGTACCTTGTCCTCCAGTAGGAGATCGGGATACAAAACCTGTCACAATTGTCTTCATAGTTCCTGTAATAGTTGCGCAGTCACTTGGGAAGACGTGTGTCACGAAATGATCATTCAAGTCATCGAAAAGCTCGTCTGTGCTTTCCTCTAGTCGGAAGGAAATCTCGTCGAAGAGAGAAGATGACGTGCTGGATGCTGTCAGAATGAAAATTGGGAGGCAGTATTTCAACCCAAACAAGCAAAACGTACATGTGACAGATATGACTGGCAACTCGGGGTACGGTAGTCCCGGAAGTTCATCCGTATAAGACTTCTTAACTTGCTCGACAACACTCTCCACGACCGGCGCGTGCAGTGAGTGAATGAGTTCCTATTTATGTAAGACTCTCAAAATGAAGAACGAGTGAAACACATACCTGCATCCTCTTCAAACATTTGCCCCAGGCTGCCTTACACGTTTGAAAGCGAAGCTGACATCCTTGGTGAAAATCTCGCTCGGGGAACAGGGATGGTGGTACTCCATTGGTGTTCGCATCGTCTGAGCCATCTGTTTCAGCTGGATATTACGGATAAAAAGTATATTTATGCTACCAGAATCATCGAACGGGATGTAGACTGTGGTCTGAAAACCAAAATCAACAGACGTGATGGATATTTGTGCGGGACTCACCTGATTGACATCCTCTAAATCTGTGTCGACTGCCATATGGACTGAAATGATCGAAGTTCAAGGAGTGCCATAAGCCTTGTAACAACGTCTGGTTGTGGACGGGCTTTGACCTGCCCTGAAGAAAACACAATTGACGCGTCGCGACGCGTCCAAGCTTTGCAAACATTCATCCAATTACTTCAACGTAGTAAACGACTCGACTAGATCTCACTTTTCACAATGTCATCTCCTCCAAGAGTTGATTTTCCAACGTCGGACATCGACGACATCGAAATGGATGGGCCTCAGGATGGCACCATCGATCAATCACTATCCATAGCTCCTCCACCCCAGCGTCTTTTTCTACCGGGAACACCTTCTGCTGCAGGCACTCCTGCGCGTCAAAGATATGCCAACAGCGTAACAGCTACGCCTATGAGTGGTATCGCCGCCAGACGGGCGCTTGGGATGAGCACTCCTCGGCGAGCACCACGAACACCACTTTTTGCTCGTGAGTGCTTGCTTAATGTACAACTAACTGCCATTTATATTTTATGCTAGCCGGAAGCTCCCCTCTCGCATTCCCCAGTTCTTCGCCCACTAAGACTCCTCGGAGGAGGGTCGCGATCGACTCTGATCCAGCCTTTCCAGACTCTGAGCCTCTTGCCTTTCCTTCGTGAGTTGCTTTCGTTGGGATCTTTTTCCATTTATCAATGATATGTCAGGAGTCCAGCCGCTGCTTTTGCTACGCCTGTCAAGAACCGTCGCGGGGACATTCACTCTTCCCTTTCTCTAACACCGACCGCACGGCCATCAAGGCGTGGCGAATATAACAACGATCTCAGTGATAACCTCAACTCAGATGGAACGCACCTCTCCATACCTGCATCATCTGTACCGCATCTCTCAGCACCTGCTGCGCCCTCAGATGAGCCCGATGAAATCCGCGCTATCTGGGGAACTACCGTGAACTTGGCGGAGACGATGAAGCTCTTCCGCGACTTTTTGCGCGGTTTCAAACCCAAATATCGTTCTATTCACGATCGTCAGGAGAACCTTCGCACTCGAGCATTTGCCACCCCAGACGAAGGCGAAGTCGTACTATATGAGACATACATGCGTCGTATCCGCCAGACTGGTGAAACAAATCTCAACCTCGACATGATCAACTTGCTTTCCTATCCGCCATGTAAAAAGCTTTTTGCCCAACTCCAGAAATACCCGCAGGAAGTAGTACCTGCGATGGATCAAATCCTCAAGGACCTCATGCTCGAACTTGCAGATGAAGATCAACAAGCTGGCATGGACGGGATGCAGGGTGACCAAGGCGACGAAGAGATCGCCGACATCATGGGTAAAGTCTACAAAGTCCGTCCGTTCGGGTTGACAGCCGTGAACATGCGTGAACTCAACCCATCTGGTATGACGTTCAAAAGTTCAAACTTTCTTCCATCATCCTAACGTGCTCTAGATACCGATAAACTCATCTCTATAAAAGGCTTGGTCATTCGCGCTACGCCTGTGATTCCAGACATGAAGGTCGCGTTCTTCCGCTGCCTCACATGTGCTCATACTGTTCAAGTCGAAATCGACCGTGGCAAGATCGAGGAGCCAGCTCGGTGCCCAAGGGATGTCTGTGGAAGCGTTGGGACGATGTCTCTCGTGCACAATCGCTGTGAATTTGCAGACAGGCAGGTCATCCGGCTGCAGGAGACTCCCGATGCCGTACCCGATGGCCAGACGCCACACACAGTGTCACTAAGCGTATACGATGAGCTCGTTGATGTGTGCAAACCGGGCGACAGGGTTGTTGTCACTGGCATCTACCGCAGCGTCCCTGTCAGAGTGAACCCTCGTCAAAGGACAATGAAAAGTTTATTCAAGACCTACCTCGATGTCGTTCATGTCCGGCTTGGTACGGGTGGTACTCTAGGCCTCGATCGCAGTACACGTCCTGCGGGTGGCGACAAGGTCCCTGGTATAGGCGGTGTTGGTGATAGTGCCGATGATCAAGAACTGGAAGAGCAAATTGCCCAAGGGGGGCTAACACGCAAAGCCGAACTTGAGGCGAAACTAATCGACATCAGCAGGCGGCATGATCTCTATGATATCCTTGCTCGTTCCCTCGCACCGTCGATATGGGAAATGGACGACGTGAAGAAAGGTATACTCCTTCAGCTCTTTGGTGGTACCAACAAAAGCATTGCAAGAGGTGGCGGCGGAGGCGGACCTCGCTACCGTGGGGACATCAACGTGCTTTTGGTCGGTGACCCCGGTACCAGTAAATCACAAATTCTACAGGTATAACAGTCTCTCTGCATTTGTGAAGCTAACTAAGCTCGTTGTTAGTACGTCCACAAAATTGCTCCTCGTGGAGTCTATGCATCTGGAAAAGGCTCTTCGGCAGTGGGTTTGACCGCATATGTGACCCGGGACCCTGATTCCAAGCAGCTTGTCCTTGAGAGGTAAGGAATATATTACCGTCATCTTGGATATTGTTGCTCACGGATCTGCAGTGGTGCCTTAGTGTTGAGTGACGGCGGCGTCTGCTGTATTGATGAGTTTGACAAGATGTCCGATGCGACCCGTAGCGTCCTTCATGAAGTTATGGTCAGGCACATCCAGAGAGATTCCTTTCAATATTATTGAAATATGCTCATCAGGAACAACAAACTGTGTCAATAGCTAAAGCGGGCATCATTACCACCCTCAACGCCCGTACGTCTATTCTCGCGGCTGCGAACCCTGTCGAATCAAAGTACAACGTCGACCTCCCTATCACGCGCAACATCGACCTCCCTCCTACGCTAATCTCCCGTTTCGATCTGCTGTATTTGGTACTCGATCAAGTAGACGAAACTCTCGACCGAAAGCTTGCCCAACATCTAGTTGGGCTGTACCTCGAAGATGCACCCGACACTGGCGGCTACGATGTTTTAGTGTGTCTTGCATCACTCCTTTCACGTACTGAGCTCACCTCGTTTTAGCCCCTTGACGAGCTCTCCGCGTACATCGACTATGCGCGCACGAACATTCACCCCGTCCTGAGTTCTGAAGCAGGCGACGAGCTCGTCGCTTCTTACGTCTCCTTGCGCTCCATCGGCGCCTCAGACCCCCGCTCGTCTGAAAAGCGCATCACAGCTACAACCCGCCAGCTCGAAAGTATGATCCGCCTTTCCGAGGCTCACGCCCGTATGCGTTTTGCTGCGCACGTCGAGTTGCAGGATGTACAAGAGGCATGCCGTCTCATGCGAGAGGCCATCCGCACCAGTGCTATGGATCCCCGGACTGGCAAGATCGATATGGGTTTGCTGAACACCGGTACTGGTGTTGGACAACGCAAGATGCGGGATGACATGCGCAGAGAGTTGCTAACGATGCTTGATAGTGGCGCTGGAAAGGGCAAGGGTTTGAAATGGGGCGAGGCCATGAAACGCCTTGCAGAGCAGAGCAGTATCCGTGTTGATACTGCTGAGTTTTCTGAAGTTATCAAAGCGATGGAGAATGAGGGAGTGCTGACTGTAGTTGGAGAGCGGGATAGGAGGATGATCAGAAGAGTTGAAGGAGCGTGATGTTGTATTAGAGGCGTGGATCGGGTAGCTTGTTTTTTTAGCTTCAAAATATCTTTTTTGCTTGTTGATATGCCATCGAGGTAATTGACTACGTTTGTATTGATACTAGCCTATATCGATTTTTAAGGTAGGATGATTAACTGACCGGAAGAGCAACATTCAAACGACGCTGTGGAGTCTCCACAGGTATTAGTACATGATAAATCCACCAAAATCCCAACTTTAAGTAATTATTCATCGAAACATTCCCACTGCCTCCCAATAGTCCACCCATTGCGTTGCAGTCGCCGACGACAGAGGCTCCAACTCTTTCACCGTTGGACTGACGCGCTGGGCCACAACAGTCGCAAACGAGGTAAGTCCACCTACTTCTAAGTGCATTTCCCCAGACGCTCTGGTCGCGATATCTGATCGAGACATCGAACGCATAAAGTTGAGAAGCTTGATAGCAGGCTAGAATGGAAGACCAAGTGAGAGAATATTCAGTCAGGAAATGAAACGCACTTACGACGCGTTTGATGTTCGCCTCGCTTGCATTCTTGGCACTCGATTCGACCTTTTCGAACCACTCCGAGAATGGGACGAGAGGCAGTGGGGCGCTTGTTATCTTGCGCTCAGAGATGGCGTCCGCAACAGGTCGCATCAGCGTCCCCCACGCTACCGGTCTCGGATGCACCAGATTAACCGCCACGGGAGGCTCTTCTTTTGCGAAAGCTACATCAAGAATAGCATTTGATACGGCATGAGTAGGGATCCACGATAGGAGCTAAATCGTCCGTGTTATTGGTGAATACTCCGCGCTGAATCACACCTACCCCTTGAGCTTCCGGGAATACACCCAAACTCACACTCGACTTGACGATGATCGGCAGCCAGTCCGTGGTCGACCAAGCTCCTCGTGGAGGTCCTCCCGCTATTTGTCCGATTCTGAATGAGCATGCCGGCAGCTTGCTGTTCACGAGGACCTTGTGTAAGGCGGTGTTCGTCAGATTGACATTCTCCCCTAAAGTAGCGTATGTCTTACCCTTTCACAAACGTATTTGCTCGCACCGTAGCCGTGGCCTTCTGCAACGCCCGCATCGTACTGTACTTCTTCTGGGAAAGGTCCTTTCGATTGATCCCAGCTTTGCGCAGTTGAGACAGAAGAGGTGAATAATACACGCGGCTTTGGATGGCATGGAGAAGACAAAGCCAGGTTTATAAGATTGCGTGTTCCCCGAACATGAGGCTCGAAGGACGAGAGCGCCAAGTTAAAGTTGAGTTGCCAGGCGTTGTGAATGATGACAGTGACGGACGTGCGGATCTACGTTGTGTTTATTAGTAGACTCGTCTACAGAGCAGACTGGAAATGAAACAAACCTTCTGATACAACTCCTTCTCCAAACCCAGATCGTCACTAGAAGTATCCGTTTCTATGTACAGCAGTTTCTCTGATTGCAGGAGGGTGACATCCAAACCGCGGTCGACGAATCCATTCTTCTGTCGTTCTTGAATGGATGCATCGCCCCTCGACGAACGATTGAAGGCATATATCAATGATACATCCTCGCGCTGTAGCAAAGATGCAAGCAGGTATGAACCAAGACCGCCCGTTCGACCCAGTCAGGATGACCACATGATTATTTCGACTGCGTCCATTAGTAAGAGGGGCGGAGGCATCTCCGACAGAGCCTTCATTGAATCCCATTGAATACTTCTCGATCATGCTCTCGATCTCAACCTTGACATCGACCGAGGTTGGACTGTTCCCATGCAATACTACATGGACGACGCTTCTCGCGAGCCGGCGAATCGACGGACTTGAAAAGACGATGTTCTGGTCAATTTGCGGTGCTGAAGCCTGGACGTCGCGATCTGGTGACGACCTGAGGGAACTGACGATTCGGCTTCTGAGGAATGTCGCAGAGAGACTGAAGGTAGGAGGTCGGCAAAGCATAAGTCTCGATCAACCATTGGCTCACCTGTCAAAGCCTTGGGCAAAGAAGTCTATGTCAGGATCGACCGCCTTGCCAGCGTTCACAGAAACGGCATGCAGCATGAGCCAACTCTCAACGTCCTCTATAGTCCAGTTCGTAGGCAAAGGTATATCGATGCCTGTTCTGCCACTCTCCACCTTGTCGTATCTGACGCTCATTAATATCATTTTCGAACACTGGTGAGAGCACATTCTCACAGGGCATTGATCTCCTCTTCGTATAGTTGGCTGGCGGCTTTCTTAGTGATGGTCCCTTTTCCAGTTCGAGGCAAAGGCTTCTCCCGGCACGTCACAAGAACCATTTCCTTGAAGATTCTGCTGAAGGCAGGGCCTGCCTTGTTCGTTTCTTCTATCTCGGGCCTTCAAGAGCATTTGAGTCATGAAAGCCGCGTGCACGTTTGCAGGGATCTTACCAGACTCGATTCCTGAAATCCGAAACCTGTGCCTCGTCTTTGACGTCGATGTCATGTCCCGGGCGCGGCTCTATGAGGGCACCAACTTGGCTACGTCCACGGCCGAAGATCACGACGCCATTGACATGAGGATTGGTCCCGATGATGCATTCCATAGGAGCTGGTATTACTTTCTCCCCAGACGAGAGCATCAATACATCATCCTTTCTTCCCGTTCTGCAAGAATAATGTCAGGTAGTTCCGGAACATAAACGACACAATTGTCAGTCGCACATCTTCCACAGACCCTCAATCGTCGGATGCTTGATAAATAAATCGGAAGTAGTATAACCCTTGACGTCCGGGAGATTCTCTACTGACACTCGGTACATCGGAGTTGTCTGCGAAGAAAAGTTCACATTGAGAGGATGTATAAAGAGCGAAGACGCACCAAAATTTGGCATTCATATGTTCCATCGCCCTGATCAGCCCATCTGGTCTTGGCGTTTGGGGTAAATTGCAGCCAGTCCCAAAGCTTTTTCTCAATTCCATACCGGAATAAAGGAGTGACAGGCCCAATTTCTGTAGAGCCGTAGTGAGGGAATATAGTGATTCCTGCATCCGCCAAGGCATTTCCCATCTTAGAAGCGAGTGGACCGCCAGTATAAAGCTACAGCAACATGAGTCGTTCCTTGCAAAAATAAACTTGTGACATACCACATATTTAAGATTCTTGAGGATATCAACAGCATCGGGAGAAAACACCCACTGTTCCAGGAAGAAAGGCATGGCCCACAAAGCGTTCGATTTGGTATTAAGCACGCAATCCAGGATATTCTGGGAATTGGGTGTTATCGGGGCCGCTGATGGGTCGTGGAAGGATGTAGGTGGGTAGATAGATATGCTGCTCAAGGATACCATGGGTACCAGTAGTTGGATCAGTAAACCTGTGGTATGGAACGGTGGAACAGATGCAGCAGCAATGCGGAGAGGAGTGAGAACGTTGATATGGTCGACAACACATGCTAATACCGCACCAGTTAGCACTTTGCTTCGTAGATTGTGTCAATAGCTTACAGCTTCGGCACCATCCAATGATGGTCTGGTGGGTTGTGGGAATGGCTTTCGGGAAACCAGTACTGCCAGAGGAATGTAGGTAGTATAATATATCGTCCGGAGATGACCGAGAAGCTTGGGGAGGGTATGGGAGAAAATTCTCGTCCGGAGAACCTGTGCCAAGCACGGGATATAAATCTTTCAGCGTTGGCATCATGTCAAGCTGCAGTTGGCTCGCATTAGTGCCTTGAGATAAGCTACCCGCTTTGATTCCATCGATCAGGGAACCAAGAGAGTGGTCAGTGGTGACTAAACGACGACAGTTTGTTTTCTGCATCATGTTTAAGATTGCCGCCGCTGAATTACGAGGTGATATGGGGAATGGCTTAAAAAGCGGTGTTCAGAGGTATTATGTTCGAGCGGAATAATGTTCACATACAACCAGCCCAGCAAAGATGATACCCATGAACACAGTCTGATAAAGGAGAGTGTCTGAATTGGCAATGATGCCAACCACCTCTTTGTCTATGCCTGCACGATCCGGTCTAACTTGATGTGCAGCACGATGACAAGCTCGATAAAAGTCTCGATGTGAGATATGGACCAGCTCGTTACCGTCAGGTTTGTTGTAGACAAAGAATGTGACATCCGAGTTATGTTGCGCATTGAATTCCAGCAATTCAGGGAGGAACAGGGATCCATCAAGAGGAGGATTGACAGGATTTGGACGGGAAGCAACCATGATTTGAATGCTTAACTTGTGATGTGTGAAGGCTCAGGATGTAGAGGACCAAGGTAGTCTTATGCGTCCACGAAGTTCTTGAGTCTTTTTAACAGGCAAACAAGAAGCCGTGACCCTGATTGATTGTCAATGGCCATTTTGGGTGTCATTCACCAGTGTGCGTTGAACGGCAGGTTAGTCATCAATTAGCTATAGCCAGCTGACTACGGCCCTGATCTACCGTCATTCGAAGGTTCTATTTTCCAGAACCTCCCTAGTAAGGTAAGTGCTTTTATTGGCCTCCGAGCACTCTGTGTGACCTGTGAAAATTTTTATTGACAATATTGATGTGTATGCAGAAGTTTCGGCTGCAAGAAATAGATAAGTTGGCGTAAAAATCGGATGAGCGACGATACTCTGCGACAACTTTGGTGGCTAAATCAGGAAAGGTTTGGGGTCCGCGACGCCCGTAAGTAGAATGTCGGGAATTGGCTAGTCTGGGACAGAGTCTGAAACGCCCTCGATTTACGAGAGGACGACCGTCAATAATTTTTTACCAGACATAACTGACCAGGGTCGGTGACCAGACCATAGCTAATTGTCGTCACGGCTTGACATATCAATAACCGAATGGTGGCAGAGTGGCGGAATAGGGCATCATGCACTCAGTCTCGTTTGCTTTCCCAGTGGCACAGATGTCAGATATGTGGTGTAATAGAGTCTATAGAAGCGGTGCATGCCAGGTGACCGTTAAAAGAGTTCTAATTTAACTTAGCCTGATTGGTTGGTTATAACCGGTTAAGAGGTTGATCTGAGTGTTACCCATGGTGTAAGTATTGACAGACCAGATTTCATTACCGAGAGAGGGCCGATCCAGCTCCGGCAGGGTTGACTGATGCTTGAGTGACGCAGTAGGAAAAGTTCAGGTCCAGCCGATTGGTGGCGGGCTTCGCACACCCATTGGTACGATATCTGCAAGTTAAAATAGGTATGTCACTAGAGTAGAGGCGGTGCGTGCCACTAGTGTTGTTACTAACCGTTAAAAGAGTGATAACAACTTGGTTGGTTATAACCGGTTAAGAGCTATTTGCGTTATTCCGTACTCAAGTTCTCAGATCAGATTTCATTTTTGGTAGGAGCTGGACAAAAGGGTCACAATGATACTGAGGGTATTCTGCCATGTACCAGGATAATGGCACCATGTGTCCAGCTGAGCGATGCCACTACTCGCTTTCTTCATCCGTTTTTCGTTCTACCCCGACGTCGAGTTCGTCGTGCCTCGCACTCATTCGCACAGACAGTGTTGTTATACCACCACCCTGCCTGTGTCCCACCCCGAGTTAATGCTCGGCCAAACCTAATAGATCATGTCAGCAACCCTCGAGCCAGACGAAGCTGGATGCTGGTGGACAACACCGTATGCACACTCCAGGTCATTGCGTCTGTCCATATGTCGCAGCTGGTTTGTGCATGATGTATACTTGTTGTTATTATGATCTTGTTTCACTACAATATCCAAAAATGTGCGATAGACGCAAGTTGAGGGAGGCTGTCGTTGCAAGTAGTAAACGTTTAAACTCCCGAATCTTTTGCCATCCTGGGAGATTCTGTGTGACAGCGTGTCTCGCTTTCAACTCACAAGCCTGCAACAAAAAGTAAACTGGATGTTCCGACGAGAAAGTTATGACGACGCACTACGTACATTGTGCACCAAGACTACGCTGGAGCGGGATTGCGTATTGGTGTGCAGCAAGAAGTTGTATTGACGTTGTCGGTGGAAGAATGGCTTCGAATTGAAGCTATTCTCCCGATAATGGCGTCTCTGAAAACTCCACCACAGAATCGGTCTCGACATCTGGCAAATCAGAAGAGATCATGGACAGGATATAGGCAGGTTGGATGGAAGCATTTATGAAGAGAGTTTCAAAGGACACACGACTTGATAAACTTCGTTTCCACATAGTGATCAAATTCCCATGCCACAAGGGTCGTAATCTCGCCGCATGGAAATTTGGAGACTTGGTCAATGCGAGTATCAAGCTCGTTCAGTGTGTTTGATACAGTGACAGCTCGAGTGGCAGCGATGATATGATTGATAAGCTATGGCGGAGTTTCAAAATGATGATTTAAATTTTTCAGCGGAAGTCGAGCGATCACCTTGTTGCTTCGTCAAGTGTTCAATCGAGCCCGCCGCTAGCTCCAATTTTCAAGTAAGTAATCCTATCCATCATATCCGTTGTCCGATTCTGCTTGGTCCCTTTGATGAACAAATATCACATTCAAGCTCAACAGTCTTATGGACCTCTGTGTCTAGCTGCTGACTCCATTACTTCTGCAATTCTGATACCTATCAGTCATTTCAAGACCGTCATTTGATCAAGTACTAATGTTCGTTGTTCCAGGCGTCAACCGTACATTTTCTTCCTCTGGTCCGCTTATGCTCGTAGTGTTACCTGTGTCAATATGTTGTCGTGGCTTGACACTCTGAATTTACTGCTTTGATTCCGTTTGCTTTACGTCCCCAGTCGTATCGTGCAGTGCATCAATAGTATAAATCTCAATGTTACAGATTGCGAGTAAGTGCATATGGTCTGAATACATGTGCAGCGAGGGAGTTGAATAAGTATAACATCCTGGTGGTCCATGGTCATACCATCACAGCGCTGTTCCCCGTTCGAAACTAGCCCGAATCTCGGAGGTATACTTGTCGTAGTACCGCGCAATCTGTTACTCTTCGTGAGCTCATATTTCAAGAACACAATGTGCAATGACATACCTTTTTGTTGAACACCCGATTCCGCTCATTGATGTAGGTAATGTCACCCTCATCCTCATTAAGTCTCTTGCGCGAGAATTTGCCCTTCTTGTCGATGCTATGGCGTAATGTCAGTGCTACGGAAGAATCAAACCAATGGCAACGTACTCTCTGTTGATCTTGCTGACCACTCTATCGATGGCATCTTCAGTAGGTTTATTGTCAGCGTACAGTAGAGTGTTAGCATCTCGGTAGAAACTCTCTGCAGCCATCCGTTGTTCAGATGATGGAACTACCTGAGAAATGTACATCATAAGAAATACAATACAATGGAAGGTTCGACACCACTCACCTGCCCGCCTGAAGGATCAAAGGTTGTGAGAGCAGACGACGATGGCGTGCTGCTCCCAGACTTTGAAAGAGACCCTGGTGCCAATCCTAGTACGGCTTCTTTCTGTCGGTTGTATGTAGTGAGGTCAGGTTTAATAAGGTCAAGGTCTTTCTTGTAGCGCCGTCGGGCAGCGTGAACATCATCTACACAGGAATGATGAATGTCATCATACAGCGAATAACATGAACCCCTACCATGAAACTCGTAATCCGCTCTCCGTGCCTTCCTCGCCTTCTTCTTTTCCCAATTATCATTCTCTTCTATCGTCCATTCCCAGTTCTTCTGCCGTTCCACATCCTCTCCCCGATCCTCAGCTTCAGTCTGCATGCGCAACACCTCCGCAAGTTTCCGCTGTCGTTCTAGCCGTGCATTCTCCCTCGCTGTCATCTTGGCTTTGGCAGACTCTTCAATGAGGGAGGCGCGATTCGCTTTCGTCGTTGAACGCTGTGGAAGAGTGGGTGAGGAATGAGAAGTATGATGCAGAGGACCACGTACCATCTTCGCTCTCAGCTGCTCCATTTTGGCTTTTCTTTCATCCATCGTCATCGTACCGTCCTCTGCTATCTTCTCTTCGCCGCTATCTGAAGCCATTTGTTGCAATTGAACGCGAGTTAACCGATGTTGGACTGCCACTGAGTGTAACGTCGCTTATGTAAGCACAAACTTGACTAAACTAATATGCGGAATGAGAATATTGGGCCGAACTTCGTCGGCAGGTAGTTTAAAATCATATAGGTTGTTCATGATATAGGGGAAATTCTGCAGCTCTGCAGCCATGCTTCGGACTATTACTGGTGAAGGCAAACACCAGTTGCACGGCCCGAGGGGTCCATCATTTCATTGAAGTAGAGGGTGCGCCTGAACTGAAACTTTTCCAATTGTGCGTCATAGTTGAACTTTGCGCGCCAGAAATCTCCCCAGACATGCATATGACCTAGGCCAGACCTGCATATAGCTGACTTTCACTTACTGCAGAATGAATAGGTTCAAAATTACGGGCAACCTACGGCCAAGGCCCAGGCGGCCCCAGGGCGGTCTTCTCAGTGCAAGTTGTCAAAGCGCATAGTTTGCATTGACGCAAGAGCCGTCCAAGCATGCATCCAAGCGTTTACCCTTGATGTCGTGAGGGATCAAAGCATTGGTCTATTTGCAACATTTAAGGCGTCCAGACTGCACGATCTTGGTTTCAGTACCACAGAAACCACTAAATCACTCATTGCTCGCCATACCCAGTATTCCACTCACATCCTGAAGATGACGCCCTTCTTATCTACAGATACTTCTACCCCCAGCTTGTCGTCGTTATCCCCTGACATAGATGGAGTGCTTACCGGTGTCCGGGATATTATGGAGCTCTCTGTAGCACAGGACGCAAAGCTCCTAGACATCCTTCTTATGATGTCCGCTCAAGGCGAGAAAAGCGAGGAAAGGGATCAATCGATCACCATGATGCAGTCGAAACTAGAGTGAGTTATCTCCATGATGTTCTTGTACTTGCTCAAAGTACTCAATCAATACTTAGTGCACAGCAGGCCATCATAGAGGAGATTCGTTCGGAACAGCAACAACTGATATCATCTCTCGCATCCTTCTTGGAAAGTCACGCGCAAGATGTGGAAGATACCTCAGCAGTACCTTCCTCGCCTATCATTTTGGAAGCACCGGAGCCCGTGACACCCTGCTGCGAACCCAGAAAGATCGCCAAGCGTTTTCTCAGTGCCAGGGTTGCCTTCCTACCAGACAACTCCCACGCGCGCATTTCACCCTTCATCATACAGTAGCAGCATTCCTATCGCGCGCGCCAACTTAAGAACTTCCACTGATGATGACCAATGGAAGGCTCCGATCGGAATACAACGGGGTAGCCGACTCCGGCGCCACGGTGCTTTCTATGGTACTCCCAACCCATCTCCTCCAGCGAGTCCTCAGATCCAAGAAGAGGTCATCTCTACAGCGAGGAATTCTCCCGCAAGTGTGCACACACCGATGGAAGTTACACAGGAGACAAACACTGCTGCCGACGCCGCAAAGGCTGCGGCAAACAACGAAGGCGATAGGACCTCTTCCCGTAAGTCCTGCAAGCGTTGCCGAGATTCCGACGAGCAAGACGCACGCACGACCGCAAATCGTATGGACATATCTAGCATCGTTCATACTGCGCCCGATGGGTCTTCTCCCTCCGTTTCGTTCTCTTTCTGTTCCACTGGACATGGTCCTGCTCGGGGCGGTGGCTCTCCCCGTGATGGGCCCTCGAAGCGCAGACGCGTATCTCAGGATATTGTTGATTCTGATCCAGTTTCCGACACGAAACGCCCAATCCGCAGAAGTCTGCGTCATGCGATGCCCCGTTAATACCGTCTTTTTTCTATTTAAATATTACCTCTTGTGTACCATATATACCTTACTGGCGCCAAAGACTCAGGGATGAGCGCTTGAGCGGTCTGGTTGCATTATTTATTTAAATCACATCGACACTAAGAACGCTTTTCTAAAATGATAGTGCACTGGATTTTTGAGCCGAATTTTGAGAAATCGTATAAGTTAAGAATGTCGATATTACGTACTCGCTTCACCGCGGTACCGACGACATCTTGTTCGTTTTGACCAAAATCGCGACGCTGTTCGTCCCTGTGTGAATCAAGGCCTGGACCTTATAATCACGTCATCTTCATTCCCACTGCATGATATTCTTTGCTCAATGAGCCATGCATCCTCGCACGTTAGCAAGACTCGCCTCCCTTTCTACCCATCTCCGTCGAGCACCTCTCCCCACTCATGCGAAGCCAATGTCATGTACTGCAGTTCCGCCAGATAATTCAACCTTTCAATTACCACCATTGAACTTTGCGATTTCTCCTGTACCAAAGAAGAATCCATCTGACAAGGGACGGCATATAAAGACTGCTGCAGCGCTCATCATTGGGTGTGTATGCATGCTGTGTTGACGAACAGAAAACTGAAAGCAACTGTCAAGGGACGAAATTCTGAATGGAAAGACTCTCGACCGGAACTCTAATTACTTTGCACGATTCTGCTTTGAGCATGGTATTCATTTGTAAGTGTTCCCCCTGCCTAGTCCGCGTACTGGCCGCTAATTCGACTTTCAGAAAACGCATAGAAGTGATAGCAGATGATGAAGCTGAAATGTACGTGCGTCACTTGTAACATTCATATTGCAGGGGCGCAGCTGCTCAGCGAGCCCCAGCATTGAGGCCAGCCGGAGAATGGTGCAAACGTACGACTTTGTAGTGACGTCGGGCGGTATCGGGCCCACCCACGATGGTACGTTGATTGTTGAACATCATTTCAGGCACACGACCATGACGCCATTCGTGTCTTTTCGCCCACAGACATAACATATTCGTCTTTGGCGAAGTCTTTTGATCAGGGCCTTGTATATCACGATGAAACTCTCGCTCGTATGGAGGAATCTGGCAAATATCGAACTTGGGTATCAAAACAGAGTGAGGAACAGCGAACGGCACGGAAACGTATGGCACTGTTCCCTGATGCTGCGGAGGTGATTTTCGTTGCAAGCGACATATGGGTGGTGAGCATGCTTGAATACGGCTCTAAGACTGATCACTAATTTTGACAAGCCCGTTGTTCGCCTACAAGGAAAACTTTGCATATTTCCAGGGATACCCACCCTCTTCCAGAAGATGCTAGATAACCTGAAACCCTTCCTTCCTCTCCCACCTGAAGAGGAGCGACCTTTCCGGCTCCAAGTGTTCACGGGGTAAGCATTTCATCTCCCTACTCGTAATGATTCACTGATCTTGGTTCTAGATTACCCGAGTCGTCTATTGCCCCGTTCCTCACCGACCTTCAAAAGCGAGTACAGCCTGAGGGTATTCGGATAGGCTCTTATCCAGTCCTACAGAAAGGTGTATATGTGTCGCTCATAGGCGCGGACCGTGGCCGTGTACATCAGCTTGGCGTAGAGGTTGAAAAAGAAGTGGAGGGACGTGTTGTTACCGAGGCGGAAGCGGAAGCCAAGCGGCAATTGGGCTGCCAGTGATTGAATGTTCAGTCTACTGTATCATATACTTTCCGGATGGGCGTGCTGCATTTTGTTGCGTCTTCATTTCCGCATACTTACAATCTACACTTTGCTTCTCACTTGCCCGCTAGTTTTCTTAGGTCGCTGGTACTTGTCTCATTCTATCGTTTCTCCTGCTTAGTGAACGATCCAGAATGCATGGCGTACGACGCGTTACACGACACCATATACTATCTGAAGTGCAGGTCCTTCGTCGCCGTAAACAGGGTCTCTGTCAAACCATGCTATATCTTTGATGGCTTCAATATTTGCCTTCTCATCCTCCCTACCATAACAAATATCCCAGTCATTTCCCTTGGGGTAACTTCCGACCATCTCAAATCCACCGTCCAAGTCTTGCAAGAGCCTGTGCCCCACGCCTGCAGGAATAATAATGACATCCCCAATCTTAACTTCCGTTTCTACCCTTTCAGGATTGTCTTCTCCACCGAAACATAGCCTCGCACGACCAGATGCAATGCATAGTACTTCGTGAGTAGTGCTATGAAAGTGTGTCGTGTTGTACATAGTGTACCTCCACTGGGGCTCGACGACGCCGATGGACCTTAGATGGGCTTCGATAACAGCAGCCGATATCGACGGTGGGAAACATTCGTGATATATGAGGAGAGGGTAATTTTTCAGGGATGTGTTTGGGATGAGATTGAAGCTAGGAATAAAATGAGAAGACACTCGCAAACTTGGAAGAGGTGCTACTGGCGTTGTCATCGTGGGCAGTACTGATGGTGGACACTAAGAATAAACCTTTATTATTACCTAATAATTAATCAAAATCAGTTGATTCTTGCTGGCGATTATGCTGATCGTAGTGGATTTACATGATCATATATTATATTCCAATCCTTTCCTATATCTTACTTGGCCTGGGGTTTCCAGTTCTCTGATACTGACTGGGAGTACCGACTCACTCAGTCAAGCCCCTGTAAGGCGCGTGACGTCACATCGAGGAGTCTATATACATGCCACGTTTGGCTGTGGCTATGTCATTAGTACGACTTCTAGTCGCATGATGTTTGAGGTTGCCAGGCAGATACACGAGAACTATGTACTAGATGCTGACCCTTGTAGTTATGCGTTTCGGTGATTAAATGACGCAGATAATAGGGCGCCAATTCCTCCCGACATGACCCGATTGAAAAATACTTATGGCTCCAGTCTCATGACACCACTACGCACCATTATCTAATCCACCACCAATAACTATTTAAAAGCTACTAGCCGCTGAAGGACGGGAAATTCCAGTCTTCGTTTCCTTCAGACCATGTTCAAGGCGCGCTTGAGTGTTGTATGTGGTCGTGTACAACCTCGCCCGGCAAAATCGTCGGTCTCCGCAGCACGAACTTTTACTTCGTCCGCGCCACGGAGCAAACAACGTCTGGTCATATTGGGTTCAGGCTGGGGAGGCTATGAGATTCTAAGAGCTATTGATAAGAAGCGTTGGAGTTAGTCTCTGGCTGCGTTCGCGGGAACGTGGTGTTGATGGCCCCCGTTTGCAGATGTCACGATGGTTTCACCAACCAATGCTTTCAATTTTACGCCTTTGCTCGCCAGCTGTGCTGTCGGTACCCTCGAATTCCGCTGTGCAGTCGAACCGGTATGTCATATTATACTTCTGTGACATGTCCTCCTATTAATATGAATGTCAGGTACGGAAGTTTTCTCCACAGGTAGTAAGTCGGATCCAGAGATGTATTGGTTCGCATGCCACCGAGAACTAATTCATGTTTGACTTTAAGGCTTGTTACCAGGCCTGGTGTGATACAATCGGTCTGTCTACGCTTTCTTTGACCGTCGTGGGGATCTGATTTTTGTTTGTTCAGATTTCAAGCAAAAGACCCTAAAATGTGTAGGTACTCATTCAGAAGCCTACAGTCACGGTGCACTAAACAGCAGGTTTCAGACGCCTGCCACGGCTCCTTTGGAATATGAAGGATCCGCCTCTGCCCCTCTTGCGGGGACAACCACAAACGACACTTCGGACCCGGGTACGGGCAATGCGTTCAAGTTACGTTACGACAAGTTAGTGATAGCTGTCGGTGCTTACTCGCAGAGTACGTGAACTGTGCCATGATACGCATCATTCTGACAATTGATGATAGCATTCAACGTACCTGGCGTCAAGGAGCACGCACATTTCCTGAAAGACGTGCGAGACGCTCGAGCAATCAGGACGCGCATAATAGATTGTAAGTGTACTTACTAGTTGTCATAGATATTGCTTACCCTACATAGGTTTCGAGCAGGCCAATCAGCCTGTCCTCTCTGACGTCCAACGCCGAAACTTGCTCAATTTCTGCATTGTCGGTAAGCATCCGGTCTCTGATGACATCTGATTCATTATGATGATACAACACTCCATAGGTGGTGGACCCACGGGTGTCGAATTCTCAGCAGAGCTGCACGATTTGCTGCATGCTGAGATTCAGAAACACTATCCGACACTCGCACGTATGGCCAAAATCACACTTTACGACGTAGCGCCAAACATCCTCGGTAATTTTGACAAGTCCCTGGGAATGTAGGTAGCCTTTTGTTTTTCTCCGCTATCACTGACAAGCTTTGAACCGATAGATATGCTGAGAACAAGTTCCGGAGAGACGGTATTAGCATTAAAACAAGACATCATGTGGAGCGTGTTGAGAAGGTCTGAATAACGCGGTGCAGTTATTCCAAATCCTGACGCTGACTATCATACAGGACCGCATGTTCGTTAAAGAACAAGGAGAAGGTCCGTAGTCAACGCTACTAATTGCTTAGTTCAAACCTTTACTCACCACGGCTGCCGTAGTTCCATTTGGTCTCCTTGTTTGGAGTACTGGTTTAGCTCCTAATCCGCTTATCCAGTCGATTGATTCTCTTGAGAAACATGATAAGACACAAAGGTCCGCAGCCATGTTGATTAGCCGCGAAGCGAAGCTGACACATGTGATTGTCTCTAGCCTTTTCACTGACCAAAACCTTAACGTTATAACAAAAGAAGGCCACGCAGATCCAGATGTCTGGGCTATCGGTGACGCTGCGAACATCAAAGGACAGCTCCATCCCGCCACAGCACAAGGTCTGTTTGCCCATAACCCTATTTGGCGCTCATGGGCTGCGGGCTTCTCATCCTGATAACGCCTATTTACAGTCGCGAATCAGAAAGGCAAATACCTGGCGCAAAAGCTTAACAAAATCGTCAAAGATCAGGAGCACACAAAGCCCTTTGAATTCCAAAACCAGGGGAGCTTAGCTTACCTGGGAGACTGGTGGGTGGCGGTCCATCAGAAGGCGAACATTTCTGATTCAGCTCTACAGGAAAGCAATCTATGACCGATCAAGTGCTGAAACTGTCAAGACTAAGGAGACCGGACGTGTAGCGTGGCTCCTATGGCGTTCCGCTTACTTCACTATGACTCTTAGTATCAGGAACAAGTACGTGGTTCCATTTTCGCAGTTGATTATGGGGTGTCTGATGTATACTGCCTAGAATCCTAGTGCCTACATATTGGTGAGTCCTGCGTCATTCCGATTGACATTCCGCGATCTCATCTTATTCCTGTGCAGGTTCCTAAATTGTATGTTCTTGTCCGTGTACTCCGGTGATATTATGGTGCTAATACATAATGTAGGGATTTTCGGCCGCGATCTGACGCGCTTCTGATTTTCATGGCTGCGCCACCTACGCCACGCTCATTTCACCCATAGGTGAGTCATTATCTGTCGCGGCGGCCACCTCGCCTGACTTGATAACAGACTGTATAGACTTAGAGATATTACCATACATAAGAATTCGTGTCGTTATGTTTACTGCTACAGTGCCAATAATACGTGGTCCATGACATACAAGAAATAGCGCATAGACATCATTCAAGAATCACAAGCAAAAGTATTAGTGAGTCAAAAGTACCATAGGAAAGATCAAGAGATAAGTGTGACAACGGAACGGAAGGACGCATTAGAGAATGGTAACAGCTTTTCTTCGGATTTTGCGCTTTTCGGGTGGCACTGGGGAAGTTGGAGCTGTTACACAGGTCCGACATCAGCAAGATAACTTCCAGAGACGAGAGCATTAGGACTAACGCTGGGGCTGCACAGCCGTTGGTTTATCCGACATTGCCTTAGCACTCGCCATGAACCCTTCCACAAAATCCTTGTCGTCTTTGACGATCTCAGGTGCCACCCCACAACCCTGAAGGTCTGCCATCAGCGTCGACCAGGCGGGTTTGATATTCTTGGAAGATTCAATGATGCCCCTAGTGGTGATTCCGACATGGGCCACATGGACAAAGGAGTGGGGCGCGGGGCTGGAGATTAGCCGAGAGCTCACTGAATAAGATTTGGGTGCCTTCTTTTTTTCTTTCTTGTCCTTGCTGGATTTGAAGAGAAAGGGTTGGAAGACTAAAACACGTGTTATGGCATGGCAACATGGGCGAGCATTGAAGCTCACAATGGTGCCGCGTCCGATCCGAGACTTTTTTGTAGAAGACGCTGGCTTCTTCGTCTTCGTCGAAGCAGAGTCCGAACATGCGACTCTGACGCAGAATTCAGTTTATTCGCAGTGAGGTAAAAGGCAACAGACGTACCGTTCCGGAGAAATAGTGAAAGAAAGGCTTGTCTTTCGTGTACTCGAAGACCTCGGGGATGGAAAATGTCCAAACCACACGATCGGTCTTCATGTCAACGAGACGAAACCAGTATTTCTCCTTGAGACGCACACCATGACCGCCTCGCTTCGGAGGAGACGTGCCATGGTGTGTGTCTCGGTCGCGTCCGAAGACCAAGATTCCTTTGAGCTTAGAGTAGCTCCAGTTCAAATGAGGATTGTTGAAAGGCGCATAGTAAATTCGGACGCCAGCAGTGGCGACCACTTTCTGCGTGCTGGGTTCGAGAACGGATGAGATGTACGGGTGGCGTTGTTGGTCTTCAGCGGTGAACGCTGACGATGGGTCATGCATATATGCAAAATGTGATAATCTGGACAAAGAAAAGGTGGTTTTGAAGTCGGTGATCGATCGCAGAGAAACAACAGACACGGAACGTGTGTTTATGTACCATTCGATAACACAGGAGAGCGCCGGTGGGGAAGAGAAGGCTGCAGCGTGGCCCCCTCGTGTCATCATAATCTCTCACCGGTAACGCAGGACCGTTTACGGTATGATCCTTGTTGTCAAGCCTGTGAGGGCATACATAGTGGCTGTTCCCGGTGATTTCCAGAGAAGAGGAGCTTCCTCCTGATCAGTGTCCAAGTCCATTTTAGCAGTCAAGGGCTCAAGTGCAGCCAGCGCCTAAAAAGCCGCATTTTACGGCTGTAAATGGTTTCAGAGATGTAATACTGCTCATGATGCTAAATTGAAATTCCAGTGATTACTCACCTTGCCATCGGCTTGTTAGTTTGTACGGTCGGAGATGAGGCTTACACGGGGTGTGTCAGGTTGCTAGGTCCCCAAAATCAAGACCTCATGCTGAGGATTCTCGTACGTACACATTAGGATGAGAATGTGATCTTTGTTGAAGAGCATCGCTTCCCTACCACAAGATTCGTGGCTGAGTCCCGCGGTGGTACTACTGTACTATGACGTCTGAGAACATGGACGATTGTGACAACTCGAGATTACGATAACGTTACGTGTTACACATTAATTAATATCTATCCAGAAACAATTACATAAGAAAATAGCAAGTTATACTGCAGCTGCAGACGTACTAAATATTGACTCATACTACCAAGTCAATGATCAAGACCATGGACCGCACCATTGGTATACATACGCGGATAACATTTTCGCAAGTTGTATGATTATCACTCTTCACGAGTTTGAATGTACAGCTGTTGGATATGGAGACAACACTGACATAGGTTTCATCTGTTACATTTCTGATGCTTCTCCAGCGCAGCCGTCACAGAGGCCTGAGATTCTACATTTGGAATAACCATCATGAGAAATCATTGCAGCGTGGACAACAGCAAACCATATCAGCGGCCCTTGGTGTACAGCAGTCACATATCCAGACTTGGCACATGCAGGTTGCGCCGCATCATTGACAAATTCAGCAGACATGACTCCAATCGAAAGGGTAGGTTGAGTTCCAGTGACCACGGAACTCCGTCAGGAATGCAGAGAATGCGCATCGCATTTGGAACACTTGGCTATTCAGCGACATTCATAATGAAAGAACCACGAGCTACAGAAATCACAATCCAAAACTTCAATGAGTAGATGCGGGCGGTCGATAAGCCCTTGGTTCAAGATATGCTCATGATATTTCTGCCGCTAATCATTCGCATCAAGACAATAAAACGATACGAGTCAGCTCTTACCTGCGCCTGAACTCGTTTCCGCACCTGACGTGCTATGCGATATTATGGTTTGTTCTCGGATGTCCGTAATATCGCAAGAGCAAAATTAGTGTCCATCACAGTCGACGCGGGCTCGAGAGGAAGGAGGACACGAAGGTCTTGCACCTTGTCGTCGATTTGCATGTACCGCAGTATGGGGACAAAGCGCGTAGAAATCTCAGTGAAAAGACGAAAATGGATAAAAACATCTGAATCTGCATATGACGGTTGGTCGCGGACTCGCGATACTATGGTTTCGGTGGAGTTATTGACCGCATGTGGTTCGTTTTCAGGATCCAAAATTCCGCAGGTGGTGTTCATGATACCAAAAACCTTCATAAGTATTGGATAATTATCTGATGCTGCTAGTCGGTGATGATCGATGATCGTCGACGCCCAGGGCTCAGATCTCAGACATGCATGTGCACAGTGGGACACAAGATGTGAAGCGAAGCTTGTGAAGGCGTGAGAACCTTCGTTTAGTCACGTGGTATTATATGCCATGACTCCTTCCACAGTTTTCGAATCCTTGCACTTCGCAACCTACTAATGAAGGTTAGTAGCGCAGCTTGCATGGTGCACGATTGCTAGAAGGAGCAATTGCACGTATTATACATCCTTCTTCTTGGTTGTTCGAGCTTACCCATAGTAAAAGTTTCGAGAATCAATGCTTCTAAAGCTCTTACCAATACTTCTACTCCTCGGTTGCGGCTCAGCATACAACGTTCATCCACCGCATCCCTAGGCTCAGTACTCAGTATTTGTCTCAGGGATCGCTTGTTTTATCTGGATATTCTGTTCCCACACCTTACAGACTTGGCCCATGGTGAACTCCAGGTGTTCTGCCTAGCCAGCTTGACCTGAAGGAGTGCAATCGGTACCAAGGTTGGGATTATCCGCAGTCCTCGTATTCGACCCGCAGAATTACGCTGTTGCATGTCGAAGTTCAAAGCTCGAAAGTCGCCAGATCAATTGAGGACCAGTCTCCTTCCATACTCCCTACTCTACATCAACTCTACATGGATCATCGATTATAAAGGATCCTGCATACTGCCAAGAAGTGGTGAGAGTGTATGAAAATGCGCCAATTTTTCGAGTACGTCAAGTCGGTGACGAAGGTGAGCGGCCTAGCAGGAACTTGAAGGAGTTGGTAGTGGCGACTGCCAGTTGCTGCGGATTGTGTGGTTAGTAATAGCACTAGACAGTTATGAGGCGATGTGCGTGGGAGGAAAGGTGCTGCGGTGATGGAGGTCAAGCTGGGCATGATAAGCTGTGGGACGATATCACCTGTCCTGCCGGAAGACTATGGATGGCCTACTAGTGACCGTTCGCAGTGGTAAGGTGACTGGCACATAATGTAAGAGCATAAATGGCATCTCAGTAATGGCTTACTATTGATCCAGACACCAGAGGGATGCATTACCCGCACTTGCAGCGATGGCGCACCATAGGTGCGCCACAGTTGCCCCGTTTGATATATTGATATCTATATGACACGGATCAGTGCACTCCAGTCAATCAATGCAGAAACGGATATTCATAGTACGTTCCTATCATGCCCACTGCCTTAGCGATGGAGGCGCTGGACCTAATGATGGTATATATAATATGAACATTATCAGTCTACATCCGCTACTGATACCCATCCCTCAAATATGACCCTAGTCTTAGATGATGATGGTTTAAATTGGTCGTCGCTCATCAATTCGAATTTTTTCTTGAGCTATTGGATAGGTTCGTGGAGCGCCATTTTGATGATGCCGGCGATTAAATATTCGCTGTGATCCTGCAGTTGCCTTCTCTGCTGTTGCGATATATGACTGGGGTGAGCAAGATAGTGTCGAATCCGCCTGAAGGACCACTTATATCCTTATGATCTTTCCAGCCCTTACATTTGGGCAAGAGGTGGGTTTATTCCATCACCGAAGCAGCCATCTTGCTTAGAATGGCGTTATAGGTTGAGCTGGTCTGGGTAAGCAGCAACCCATATCAGAAGGTCGCAATCATTAATTTGGCGCAGAAGCAACGCTGGTCCCTTATGACTATTTTATATCTCATTGTCTGTAGCTTATGTTATAAGTGCAATTGACGCGTTAAGCTGACTTATGTAAATGTTCTAGGTGCGCTATATTGAAATACCATATATTGTGTACGTGAAATTCAACGAGTTGGTGATGCGCTGACGAGCTATATCTTCTCACAATTAGCATAAACCTGCTGCGTATGTCTCCCCGCATGCACTGTTCTTGTTTCTTCTGACTGGTGGCATATAGAAAATATTCCATCAATCTCGGTGACAGGTACAGTAAGTAATCTGCTTCAACACCTGCATCCCCATCCAACTTATTGGACGTCTATGTAGGAGTGAGTAAGATTCTTGACCGGAGTATTGATTGAATGCAATAACTCCAATAGCTGTGAGTTTTGTTGGATCATTTTACCCTTCAAGACGCACACTAACTAGGGTTTTCAGGTAAAATTTTCTTCCTCACACAGTTTCTGATGATTGTGGTCACAAATACCGCGGTGAGCGGTGAGCTACTTTGGCATTGTAACGTCTCAGTGCCTTAAACATTGTGCAAGTCATCACGATCACTCGGTTGCATGCAATGTATCAGCGATCGAACAAGATGCTCTCCTTTCTTGCTGTCATATTTGTGGCTATCACCATTGCCTGCGTAGTGATCGCCATAGTGGCAGTAAAACATATTTCAGAGGGTAATCATGGACAAATGACTTCGATGCACCAGGCTCATTGGACACATTCCAGGGGAAACCATTCTCTTCGGCACTTATCAGTGCATTATTGTTTTGGATGACGACGTCGCGCTTCTGATAGCAATGATTTGGACACTCACCGCTGCATGGGAGATTCTCGCACTGAGTCTTGCAGTCTGGATTGCGGCACAGCACTTTCGTGAACTGCGACAAATGCCGATGGGGGGAGGGATCGTTGGGGATAGCTTTACGGTGTTGATACAAACTCACCTAATTTACTTTGCAAGGTGAGCTCGTAATTTCATTGCAGTCACCTTTCTCGCTGAAGTTCTGCACGTGCTAGTTTTTTTACTGTTTCCTGTCTCAGCTTCATGGTACGCCGATCTGTCACTGATAACTATTGTTTATCATTTGTGTAGGCCTCATTGATGGAAACCGAGACGTATTATGGTCTTCGTCAAATTTTCTTGATCGTGCAGATGTTTGTGCTGGGACCACGCCTTATCTTTAACGTTAGAAATTTTCACGCCAAGCTTGTGGCCAGCTCCGACGAAGGAACCTCCATGGCTTCAATCGATTTCCAGGAGCGCATACGGGTATCAACCGGCGGTAATGTGTAGAGCGGGAGATGTTCCATGCGATTGGCATTGCTAGAGGGACCAGGAAAATTACTGGGGTACTTATAAAATGGTATTCGGAAGTCGAATTGAGAAGAGAAAAAGATTTGGGCAGGCAGACTGATATGATATTGTTGCTTCACTACTGGGATCATACTAGGAAACCAATAGCAAAATTGGTTTTGGTTGACTATTTCAGTTTCAGCAAATGTATCAGCAGGGTCAAGACCGTGTCCGTTGGAGCGGGGCGCTCTGGCAGGACAGGACGGGAGTGGCAAGGGTCCTGGCGCGGTGGCAGGAGTCCTGGCTCGTAGTCGGTAGTCCTCACGTGTATCGTAGTCTGTCCTCGATAGACAGAGCCGTAGCCTCCCGCTATAGAGGTCTGGCCTTGGTTCCCCTTGCAGTCCTTCCCGTAACACCGTTGATCGTAAGATCTAGGTGTTCTAAGTTAAATAACAAGCAAGGAGGAGCAGTTGTGTATAACGTCATGGAACGTAGACTATAGGATGGTGTTGACCGATGCGTATTTTTTTACCCCTCAATCCCATCAGATATCCACGTCCTTTGTACCATCCATCGTGGTATTGATGGGACGATGTATGTGAGTGAGACAGTAAAAAAAAGCCAGTTGATAATGATGTTTGGGGTCCAAAAGTAACGGTAAGAAGCCATTAACATTTGGATTCAAGCAGACCTATTCACCCGATCCATCGAGTATTCGCCACAGATCCGAGGGTACAGGGTCTCAGATCAGGATGTGGAGGACTGACACCGCATGAGAAAAACGTTGATGACAGGTGTCATTTGATGACACAGTGAACGATGAGAACTGTGAGAGACTTCGGTTGCATACAAGATCAACCCCTTGACCATTTTTCATAGCCCTGGCCCAACATGTCATGCCGATTGAAGGCTGTTGTTCGGCAGACCTCTGCAGAGTGGCACGTAACCGTATGCAGTACAGACCTGTAGCAAGAATATCATCACTTCGTGATCAACACTGGACACGGAAAACGTACCGTAAGGATCCAAGTATGAATGCCAGTTGATGTGAATCGGTTGCATCATCATCACTTGACTACGATATGGCAAACACCATCTTTGCATGGGATTGGATAGCAAGGAGTGACAATGACCTCTTCAGCACAGTTATCAGGACAATAAGACAGCTCTGGATCGGTCGTCGACAATTACGAGTCGTGCTAATCTCAGTACTCTGACCTTCGTCATCAATCCCGTTACTTGGTTTCTTCTCTCCGAGTCTGATACGGTTTCTTCGGGAATGTACCTGTAGGCGTCCAGAATATTTCGGAGGTAGAACGAGTACTTGGTATCATGATACACCTTGATAAAGTCCGTTGCTTCCAGTTGACGATCCTCATCCGAAAAGCTACCGGAAAGATCAGCGGATCTCCTCGATTGTGCAGGTTGAACAAGCCAACTGCCACTTCCTGACGTTAAGCTGAGTGCACTGTCAAGTGTAGATGCGGTATCCGACAGTGCGCTATGGAAGACAATCGAGATGGACCCAAGATTTTCAGCTTGCTGAATGGATATCAGGAAATGCCAGAAGTGCACGATCGAACTATGAGTCCAAGTAATTCCTGAAATTCCGTCGCATAGCGGTGCAGGTCCAGAGGGGAGCGGAGAAATATCATCTCCCTGTGGAACTCGCGGGGGTTCCAGGATGGTGGCACAGGTAGCACCGTCCCATGGTAGGATGCCACGCAGAGGAATAAGCCATGCCGCCCTCTTGTAAATACTATTCAAGAAAAGCTTAGCCGAGGCAAGGTCAAACGGTGCGATCAGTGATGGCCGAGTTTTTCTGTAAGGCCTGAGGTGCTCGCTGTCCAACGGCCGAAAACCAACATGCGGACCTGGGACATAATGAGGCTGCAAATCGTAAGCCGGAGTGAAGGTAAACTGAACAAATTCTCAAGACCTGGGGTATCAAGTTTGAAATAGAGGCGGTATGGTATCTGGGTCGCGTCGTGGGTCGTTCTAGAGGCACTTCATATGTTGAAGAGCGCGCGGTCTGTCGCGATTGTGGATCATGGATGTCTGAGCGTGAATCCTGCAGTGCAGGGCGCTTTCGGGCAATACGAGCATAGGGGACTTCCCACTTGAGATGTATAAACTCCTCAAGGGTTTCAATTGCCAATGCTTCTTCGTCAGTCGGAGGAACCCCCCAGTCCTTAAGAACATGTGTTTGAGGCGCCGGTATGCCAACCTGCGGCGGGCTCACGCTGAATTGATATAGTCGGTTGTGTTTCAGTGCTGCTGACAGTCAATAAGAGAGCAGGCTACTGGTTTGTAAACGGCCTACCGAACAGTCGTTTGTTAAAGGAGACAGACGGTTTTCTCCATCGGAGACTAGATGAGGCTGCATGAACTAGGTCGCGTCCGAGCTCCAGCGTCGCAGCAGAGTGTGACAACATTGGCCCTTCATCATAAACGTAGCTGTGAACTGTCAGTTTCATGAGAGAGTCGATGATAATTCGCGCTACGGGCTACCAACCATTATTATGTAACTGCTGGGAACTTTGTCTCGTGTAGTCAGCAAATAGAACATCGTTTATCGTTTATCGTGTCAGCCAATCTACATGACATCGTTCATCGTTCATCCCTCCGTGTGTCACGGTTCACTCGGATCAGTCTCGTTACTGGTATTACACTCCTTCGAGTCTTGGATCCAACACTCATAGGAGCGTCTTTATCTTACGGTTCACACCTGTATTGCTTTGCAACAATTACTAGTATCAGGTCTGTGGACGAAATTCAGAGCAGTCCCCGGCTTGTTCAGCTTTTTGCGGTGAGTGCGTGCCTGGCTTGACATGTTTACTTTCTTTATTAGTATTAAATGTGGGCTCAACGTTCAACGTTCCTCACCCATGGGTTAATAAAGAAAGCAATCTCACATCAAACGAGCTATGTTTTTGAGGCCCATTCCCTAACAATGGGCGTCCCAGTTATCTCTTTTGTGCTCTTGTTACTAATCAGCTGGTTGTGACTGAAATTTTATTACGAGTCATGTTCTCTTCATGTGAGCTATCTCGATGGTCTGAGCTTTGACCATCTGTCAATACATTGAATCTTTGCTTAGACCCCCATAAACCTCTTCGGCTGGCAATGCCGAGGACAATCAACACGCGCTGGCTGAGACAAAGTGCTCAGCATATGGTTGCTATCGGCGCTCTCATCCTAAAGTTACTCTACATACTTGGTAAGGCTTGCACGTTTTGACGTGGATGACCATTGCGTTTATTTTGCTCCGGTTATTCCGCAGGGAACACCGTGTTGTAAGCACTCTACATCTAGCCAATAGATGTCGTTTTAGCGACAGTGGTGGACCAACAGCTATAGTGCTAGCGGAACAATGTCCTATGACTCATACTGTTCACAAGGGAGCTGCTGATCGAGCCAATGGCGCCACGACCTCCATAAGTGGACACACTCACCCGAAACAAAAACACCGGAAGACCTGTGTATCCGTAGATTCATGTGGGATTGGCTATATACAAGAGGTATTGCACTTGAGCACCAACAACAACTTTCAATCATGCATCATATCTTTGAATTCGACGATATCATTTATGCCGTGTTACAACACGTCAAATCCTCTGGGACGGACTTGGTGAATGTGGCAATGACATGCTCCAGACTGGCAGATTCCGCCCTCAATATCCTCTGGTCTGAACAGTCAAGTCTGGTACCCCTCATCATGTGTCTACCGCAAGACACCTGGGAGGTCAGGGAGAACGGACTGGGTCATATTGTTGTAAGTGAAGTACAATATTCGAGTTTTGACAGGACAATGCTCACCGTGCTTCGATTTGTAGCATTTTTCCAGAGATCCAACTCCCATCGAGTGGGAGCGCCTCAGAGTGAACGCATCAAGAGTGCGCCGGCTTGTTGGCCCTAATGGCTTCACTGACGCGCTGAAGCTACCTCTCGGTGAATCGTTTATCCCGGGCCTAGATGTCAGTCGTGATGTCCTGCAAAGGCTTTTTGTTTGGTCCCGTCCCGCCACACTCTTCCCAAACCTTTGCGAATTGTATTTCGATGCCGTGTTCTATTTTCTAGAATATGATAGCTCGAAATCCTGGCTGCTTCGGCAGTTCATTTCGCCTGGATTGCAAGCGCTCCGGTTTGATGTAGCTGGCATCCCACCGCATAAATCAGAGCAATTGCTTGCTACTCTTCACGCAGAAGTGCACGGTCTGCGCCAACTGACAGTATCGGCAGACGATGGTAATATGGCTTTGACAGTCCCCCCGAGCTTTGGAAAGCTGCCAAAGTTAATTGGACTGGCCATCTTTGGAATCGATGTGTGCTTGACGAGGCAGACGATAGCCAATATCCAGCAAGCACGGTGTCTTCAAAGTCTCAAGCTTAAGTTGTTCGGAACCTCCTGCGATGCGGGCGGTATACCCCTTGAATTGCCTAGTCTCAAAACCCTCCATCTCTCTGGTGGTTCCTTGCCACAGTGCACGCACTTCCTTCGTCAAGTCACCACCCCACAACTATCACACATCGATATCAGGTACTGCGGAGCTGCTAGCCCGGCCGAAATGACCGCGTTCATAGAATCCTTGTCCACTTCATGCCAAACTGTTGGATGTTTGGAACGGGTCCACGTGGTCGACGAATCGAAAATTCCTGATCCTCGGGTCATCATCCCACTCTCCTCCGAAATATTCCGGCCCTTGTTCAAGTTCAACAGGCTGTTATCTGTTAAATTTATCGGCGTTGGAAATTTCAACCTTGACGATGGGTTCCTCTATGATGTCCCAGTTGCCTGGCCGAGTATTCGGGAATTGAAGCTCACCTCCTGGAAGAGACGTGCCATATATAGCGTCACCTTCACCGCCATGATGTCACTGGCGTCAAGGTGTAGATCGCTGCAGACCTTACATCTGACGGTCGATGCTACGCAATCGACGATAATTCCTCGAGCACCGGACGGGACAGAGGAGCTTTGGCCTACGCAAACCGCCCTTCGCAACCTCCATCTCGGGTACTCCAAGGTGTCGGAGGTTGCACGCGTACCGTATTTCCTAGCTGAGGTATTTCCAACTCTATTCGACTTCAAATGGTATGACTATTACTATGGGAATTACCACAATCCCGATATTGCTATAGTATCAGCGCTATCAGCACTGAATGACGCATTGCAACAACTATGGGCGCTTCGGAAGTCAACTGGCGCTGACGATTTGAATGGGAGAAGGATTCAGACGACAGTTGGACGTGAGGAATGGAGGTTCCATCGTAACGTAATCGATTGTTATAAATATTTACATTAGAGCGATATAGCTGTGCTATATACATTTATCATGCCTGTATTCCCGGTGATGCGTGTATGCCTGAAAGCAACAACACCTCGAAAAATGTAAATCGCGCTGTGGTTCGCGGTTTATTGCATCTCATAACCACCGCTTATTCAATACAAGTCGTATCGTTTCACTGGGCATATGCTGAGAGTCGCGGTTGTGATATACCATGTACTAAAGATCTTTCGTTCGCGTTAGACGTATGAGAAGTCCTGTCTGTAAAGTCACTTCTTCGCCGTCCAACAAGGCAACGCCGTCATGGAGAGGGAGAAGCGAGCTTAGTGTACGATGCACAATGAATACGCTTTCAAGCAAGACAGCAGGATCAAGCGGAAACGTAGCTCCCTGATTCTAAATCAAACGGCTAGGAGAAATGCTTAGGGACGACTCAGAGTTTGTTTCGGTCATTATGACCAAACCACGTCTCCGAACGTTTCATCAGTGAGAGTGAGAACCACCGTCCCATAAAGCTATATCCACCACGACGATCTGCAGAGGATGGGATTCAGAAATCACGAAAGTGGAGCATGTGAGAGGACATATATTGCTGCAGATAGGAATAGGTCTAAATCGACCAGATGATAGTAAGTAAATGATGTCGATGAAGGATGCGTAAGTGAGAGAGATTTGGTGTGTTGAGTCTGCTGAACTCCGACTGATGACACTAAAGGTTATTAACTGAAGGGGTGATAAAGCTGATGGCGTGATGGAAGGAGTCTCCCAGCGTTCATTCTCTGAACGAAGGATTTTGCCTTTGCCGCTGAGCCTGGAAAAGCGCACCGGCAGTGGTGCATGATGTGGGGCCACTGGAGTCGTTGAGGAAAACTGGAAGAACCTGGATGCGCGAACAATGCCTGCATTGAATTTGCAGCAAGTCGACGACTCGTCAAAGGCGGTACAATCAGGTGAGAACCAGGAGCGAGCTGATGAAATTAGTCGAGACGGTGGTTTCTCCAAATGGAAAAATGCTATCAGGCCGTCCTATCGTTCAGACCAAGATCCGGGGAAGCTTGGCCGAATGGACCAGCCTGAGGATCTTGAGTATGTCACGTTGACGAGAGTCGTGTGGGCCAGTCCTAATGCACTTCTTGTCCAAGACTACCTCCGAATCATCATTAGTTACTTGGGTGAAGACAGAGTACAACAGTACTACATATAAATGGGACTCAGAGTAAGAAATTAAAAGCTCGCCTAGTCTCGTGAAGGAACAGCCACCACGACATAGTGCATGCGGCAAGCTCGGCATCGTTTCGGACTTCGAAAATCATGCGACCACCACGTCCTCGTCGTTCTGCACGCCTCAAGCGTCTACGGGGGCCCAAAGCTATGGAATACAACAGTCATACAAGTAGCAGATGAAGAGGGAGATATCGATGCGTGGGAACAAATTGGAACCATATCCGACAAAGCCGACCTTTCGTGTTAACTTGTAAGCACTATCAGAAATTATGTCTTTACTGGCTGGTTGGAACCGCATCAAATTGTCAATGTTCACTCCAAGTCCACACCATAGATCTAGGCCGACCTGAACTTACCTCATTTCTCATCACTATCAGAAGGACGCCAATGGATAAGGTAGAACAACGTAACATTGTTATTATCGGCGGTGGAATCATTGGTGCGTAGTACTACTAGCTCCACAGCCGCTTATTCAATTCTCTCTGATCGGCTTCGACAGGATGCAGCGTTGCTTACTACCTGTCCAGGCACCCATCATATTCTACCTCGACAACAAATATCATAGTTCTCGAAGCCTCGGCAAACGGGGTAGCGCAAGGAGCTTCTGGAAAGGCTGGTGGATTGGTTGCCAAATGGGCATATCCACGTGAAATCGTAGATATCTCATTTCCAGAGCACGTCAAGCTCGCTGAAGAGCATAACGGTGCTGAAAGGTGGGGCTGGAGATTCGTTGGTTGCGGCAGTTGGGAGGGGGAGGGGGAGGCATTTGGCGAGCGTGGATCTGGTGTTGGCAAGGGAGGTAAACGCAAGAGTTTGGAGAAGACACTCGGTTTCGACGCTAGTACCGCGGCACCGGAAAGCAGAGCGGCCAAAGGACTGCCTGACGACTTAACTTGGGTCAAGGAGGAATTAACCACGTCATACAGCCCAATGTCTGGTCCGGACGGGACAGCACAGGTTCATCCCTATTTATTCACCACAAGTATGCTCGACCTCGCGATGGAGAAAGGAGTTCAATTGGTAGAGGGAACTGCTATCTCCGTTGAACAGGTCAACCGTCGTGTCACGGGCGTCACTTATCGTGATCGGTCCGACTCCGATTGCATCAAAACACTCCCTGCAACGCATGTAGTGTTATCGGCTGGAGCATGGTCGCCATCCATCATACCTTCCCTTCCGATTGCAGCCACCCGCGCTCACAGTGTTACCATCCATCCCAAGGCCGGTGTTACGATATCACCCTACGTATTATTTACAGAAATATTACTTCCGCATTCTCTCAGCGCCTCTCCTGAGATATATGCTCGCCCGGGCAACGAAGTGTATGTCTGTGGTCCAGGAGATGACTCGACATTGCCTGGCAACGTAGATGACGTTGAAATCGATCTAGCGGCTTGTCAAAGCATAACAAACCAAGTTGCCAGCATCTCCCAGGAGCTGAGAGAGGGAGCGGTCGATGAGCGTCAAGCATGCTTTTTACCAGTGGTACGTACTGGTGGGGGTCCCATCATCGGGGAAGCAGAGAAGATTGCGAAAGGTCTATATATTGCCACCGGTCATACCTGCTGGGTAAGTGAAGCACCCCGCAATTAATTTTTTCACGAGTTTGTTTACGGGTGGGCTTCGAAGGGAATTTGCAATGCGCCTGGAACAGCCAAAGTAATTGCAGGACTTATCATGGAAAGAAAGGGTCGCTCGCGCAATTTGACGAAATTGGCACCATCGAGGTTCTTGTAGGAAAATTCCAGGATGCGCTCCAGGCAGCCAAGGTGGTATTTACTATTCGGAACCCTAGGGCGTAGCTTCTGGGGTGCACTTGCGCCATTTGACGAAATAGGTACCGACGTCAACTTAAAGTGTTCAGAATAGTTATCCGGGACTGAGCTACCTCACCACGTCTTGAACATGGTGTGTCGAGCACCGTCAAAGAGCGGTACTGAATGTGTCACCTCAATATTAAGTGTGACTGGTGCACTATAGGGAAGAGTCATATGCAACGTACATTACATAATTATGATCATCGATGAACAAATGGAGCAAGGACAAGCCTATGAGTCAAGTCAGCTGTGCGAAGTCGGAACAAAGCCCCTATGATTTACATACTTCAAAATGCGTGACACCGGAACAGAAGCCCGGCACCGCGGCTGTGTTTTCCATGAGAAATTGACACGTCACAGCTTCAGAAAAGCCAGCGCATATGGCTGCAGGTCAGAACAACTTACAATGTTCCTCAACTTATGTAATGTCAATATTTTATATTTTGACAAAAAAACTTAGCAAAAATACTATGACAGAAATTATTGCTTTATTTGGATAGTGCCTTCTTCCCATCAAGTACTTCATCGAAGCTGGTCCATTAGAAGACGTTTCAGAGTCGACCGGTCGATTCTCTCGGTCAGTTTCCATTGTCCGAGTCATATCATCTCTGATGGTTTTAAAATATCAACGTTGCTACACAGCACAGCCTAATTCGGTTGACCCGAATTTACGTCCAGCTGCAAAGCACAACATATCAGCCTCGTGGCTTGTCAGTGATTATATCGGTCGCACTAAAACGGGACGAGCGTCAAGTGAGCAACTTAATTTCGCACTTTCTTCCCGCTCTCATCTCAGATTCTCACAAGTCTTGCTCCTTCTTTGGCTAGTGGCCATGATCTTTTCCCTTTGACTGCTCCTTTGACGATCTTTGATTCCACGTCACGTATCGTATTGCACTGCGACTAAATCCTAGTGCTCTAAACTCTCAAAAACACGTACGGTATGTCTAAGCCTTCGGGTTTCTCACTATGTCCGCCTAGGCTGCGGAATATGTCATGTACTTGAAATTTTTTGGCCATATTCACTGACCCTATTCAAATACTAGAGTCTGGAATCTGACGAACACACCACGCTTCAACAAATCATCCAAAAACCTCTTTGATAGTCTTTCATTACGCACGCACCCTCGACATTGGGTATCACCCTCCCTCGCAAGTTTCAGACATGAGTTGTAGCCGGCCGCATTTACTACCTTCAAAACAATATATCTCCGCCGAAGACTGTGATCTCCTGGAGTATGTTCACCGTCACAGGCATCAGTTGACACTCGCTGACACATTTGCAACAGCCTTCTTTGTTCTCGTTTCAATGTCGCAAAGACGACGTTAGAGCCGGCATCCGAGATTCCGACAACCTTAGACATACGCGTCAAACAGGATGCTCACATTCCTTCGCATGTCATCGCCGTCTTTGACATCCCAGAGAGCGAATGGGGCTCATCTTATCAGCCTCTCTTGGTACCCATTCGTGTCGACCTCTTCACCCGTGGTTTTCGCTCCAAAATAATTCCACTCAGCCCACCTGGTTCTACTTTTCCGGTACCCTATTGCGCTGAAAATGCCGAGGGGCAATTTGTGACACTCCCCGTAGTCCCACTGCTTGTCCCACACGCTCCTTCCATCCCTCTACTCTTCCTCTTCGGACTTGGGCTTGAGACACGATCGCACCTGCTATGTTGCCGCCTCCTCCCCGCTGAGGTGATAGGAGAATTTCCTGCTCCTCCCACCATGGCTAACATCATGGCAACGCTGTGCAACGACGAACAACTCCGAGAGCGTAGCAAATTCAATCAAGGACTATGGAAGAACATACTGTCTTTAGGACCACGAGACTCGCATTTCATCGAGCTTGCCCAGACAGCGTGGAATGTCACAGTGGAAGCACGGCGAATCCGACAGCGGAACACGGCGTCTCACACCACATCGGTCCCGAATTGAGAGAACTCATGTCTATTTTAACGTTTTCCCTTTCATTCCGCTTTGCTCATCTCGCTAAAATGGCCTTTATACGACACTTTGCTGAACGAGGATCATGATTAGCTTCTGCTTACATCTCACTTACTTTACGCATCGCAATCGATTTGCTAATTCTTTACTCCGACGTTCTTTCATCCCCCTCCGATCGCTAATATCCTACGTGTAGATAATCATTAATTTCCTCGCGATGACAGCCGAAAAGAGTAGAAAAGTAATCTTGAGGTGCGTAGCGTTGCAAATCATTAAGTTAGGTCACCGCCCCGACTCAGATCGGGTGGCGTAGTGGACGCCTGTCATCCGTTGTTGGATTCTCCCTTTTCCGTCATCGAAGAGGCCGAGGTTGGAAAATAAACACACCTGACATTCTGCGATGCTGGCATACCTATTTACGGTTGCTTGTGCAAGGATAGCTAGTATTTGAAACCCACATTGATATTCTAGCCAATGTCATGCTCCTGCATGATTAAACTAGCACACACAAGATGAAGTACTGTATAACTCGAAAGATAAAGTCCACAAATGCATAGAAAAAGAGACAGTAAAAACAAAGAGACACCTAGCAGCTCACCCCCTCAAAAGTCCATCTTCTCCCCATCCACACGACTCCGCCTCCTCGCATACTCGCTCCTCCTCGTGCGCTTCTTTGCGCTCATAAGCACATCCCCACCCACTTTCGCCACACCATGTGACTGCCCGACGTTTGCGCCCATGCTAGACCGTATCCTTGGCATGCCGGCACTCGCATGGGAGCTGGATGCACCCACACGTGGCCTCGGAATAGCACTTGCGCCAGCCTGCTGGGCCTCTCGTTGCGAAGCCAACTTTGCAATCACCTTTCCCCTAGATATACGTGGCCGCCGTCCGGGCATAACCTTCGGCTTCGGCGGAATTGGAGGCTTTGCGGTGGCGAGCGTAACAGCTGCTGCTGCAAGGGACATACGAGGCGGTGCCCCCGAAGGCTTCGACGAAGGGCTGATCGGCGCCAAGGGCTGGCTGAATATCCGGCCCTGACTTCGGGGGACCATCGGGGAATTCACCACATGTGCCATTGCATCCTTTTCCTGTTCTTTTCCTTTCTCGCTGGCCTTGTCTTTCACCTGGAGTGGGGAAAACGACGGCACTGGCAGCCTGCTGGTCTTGGCTAATGATGATGCAGTTGGTGCCGTGAGGGTAGAGACGCGAGCTCGAACCGTGCCAATGGTTGCAACTCTTAATGTACCAGTGAGAGAAGTCTTCGAGCCCATGGAGGATACGTGTGCGTTATTTGTTCGCGAAGCAACACCAAGGGACGAAGCAGAGTTAGTCCTACTATGGCTCATCCTACTTGACGTCCCTGGAGCAGGGAACTGAATTGGAGACTTCGACATCTGGGATGACGTTGAATCAGCTACTGGTGCAAGCGAACTCCCGGAGGGCATGCGTTTGCCATTACTGACTGATGGCACACACTCTTTAGGGACGGGTGGTACTCCCGAAGAGCCAGGGATAATCGAAGGTTTTTTGGACATCGACTGTGCTTTTGGCGGCTCTTTGGTTACTTTGGAGGACATAGATGAGGCTAGAGTCTTTGTCTGAAGTACGGGTGCGGGCTTCGCGGCGAGGGTGTTTGGTTTCGACCCAGTTGTTCCGCGATTCCAAACATTTGAGACGATATTCTTTGCAGAAGAGAGGAAACCGAAACGTGATGTTTGCTTGGGTGGTTCTGTAGATCAAAGTCAGCAGAGTTGATTCGAACCATGATTTGTTCGGACAGTGTCAGGATCTAACTTACGGACACCCTTGCCTATACTTGGCCTACCCATGCTGCTTCGCCTCTTGGCTTTGTTGGCATCCAGCTTCCGACGAATGGCCTCACGCTCCTTAAGTTTCTTTGTCTCTTCCCTTTCCAACTCTGTATCCTCAATAGGGTCGATGCGAAAACGTTTAGATTTGCGCCTATCATTCTCTTGCTCATCCTCCTCTTCGCCGTCATCATCGTCATCATTGTCGCCAAATCCTCCTGGTACGACCTTCTTCGAAACTGGGCGTAACCTTACACTTGAGGTAGAAGGAACGCGATCCTTCTTCACCACAACGCTCGACTTACGTGTCTTCCCAGTGATGGAGGCGGGCCCAGCGGTAGTCTTTCGCTTGCCCAAAACAGGTGCAGCTTCTGCACTAGATAGCAGTCCGCGTCGCGCAGCATAGTGACTAGTGATGCTGTCCATCTTATCGAATTGTGCTTGGTGCGCTTTATCGAATAGCTGACTAGAACTAGCTTTCTTCTCCTGCTGTAGGTCCTCTGTAATGGAGTGTCTTGACATGGACTGTTGCTGACGTCTTAAAACATCAAAGTCTACGCTTGCGACACCCTCCGATCTAAGGCGCGCGTTCATGTCGTCCAGCACGCTTTGTGCCGCGCTTCGAAATTGCGCGTTTGAAAGACGGTGCTGAGGGTTAGGAGATCCAAAGATGAAAGGCTCAGAGCGGGGTATTCCCAATTCGCCGCTTGTCTTTTCTGGGGAGCGCTGTGGGCGAAATGAGTTCGCATCCTCCCGAGCACGAGTAAGCCTTGGTGCTGGGGAGAATAAATCTTTTGGGACATCAGATGGCTTTTCGTCAGACTTCGGGGTAGCACCTGTATTGAATTTCGAACGTGCTGGCGTGGATGACTGAAGCGTGCCGGAGAAATCGACATCGATGTCCATGTCGGAAGTATTTACAGGTTCAAAGGCAGAAAATGTTGGGACATCTGGGTATATGCGCCCGCGTTTGGCTCCTCCAGGAGAGAGGGGCCATACACTGCCACCTTCTGCTCCGCCAGGCGTTTGGGGCACAAGATCAAAGGACGTCTTGAATGGATGTAACTTTGGCGGGGAGAACAACGAGTTATTAGGTATGTTGGAGGCGACTAGACGGATTGTAGTCGTTGCAGGCTCCTGAGATATACTGAGACGGGCATTGTCTGGTGCTGGGAGGCCTGCAAGAGTGTTCTGTCCTGGCACGGGCTGAACTTCGGGCTCCGGCTCAGTCGGAGCCGTGCTCTGCGATTTGCCACTTTGCGTGGAAGTGAGCGAAGATTTCGATGAAGCGGTTGTGGTTGTTTCATTCCCGCGTTTCAGTCCAAGAGAAGTGGCTATGGCTTTGAGAGAGGAACCAACACTTGAAGCTGAATAGCACGTTAGATGTTTTCATTTTAATAGCACCCGAAAAAAGAGTCAGCTAGATACCTTTGCCCCCGTTTGTTCCAAACTCTCCTGCTTGTGTGGCATTACGCGCCTGGTTGTTTTTGAGTGTACTCGCAGCATCTTCATCAACTTCTGCAATGCTGTCCATGACAATCTCCCATTGTTCACTCGGGCGCGTCAGTGCAGACAAACTGCCCCCTTCCTCTCTCGCAGTATCTTGTTCATCTTCACTTTTATCGCCCCTAGCTGCATAGCTCAACGGATCATCAGGCGGAAGTGTCTGTGCGTGTAGCTGGAGACGCTCGACGAGATCCTTGTTCTTTCCATTAGCTTTGATACAATGAATCTTGCATAATTTGACTAATTGGTCGCGTTTGAGGGAATTCAGAGCCGGGCTATTGAAGAGAATTCGGGTGGTTGTTGCCATCGTCAAAGCTATTTGATAAACCAAGTTGAGCCTACAAATTAATCCTGTTCAAAATGGGTCACCTGATCGCGTTGTATCACGTGACTAACATACAATATCGATATTGTTCCCGACCGGTACTTGAATGAATTTGTGTATACAGACATTCATGCATAATACATATCACTGCCCCTTTACCCAACCAAAATGCGCTAGAACTGGTTCCCTTCCGATTCTTTCAGAGTATACGAGACTACGAGCTGCGGCCTTAGTGTCTTGGGTGCCCCCTCGACTTAGACTTCTGAATGTCGACTTTTCCGAATCGACTCTTTCTAGTCGGAGAAGGGCACTACAGTGTGTCTGATGCAAATTGAAAAATGCTTGTGGCAATCTCCCTACTTGAAGTGAGCCATCAATGCTAGGATATAACAGGATGCAATATGACTCGGGAAGCAACTGTATGAGTCCCCTCAGTGGACCACAATATTCATCGTTGCGATTCCCTTGACGCTGGTGATCTGGAGGGCACTCTAAGTATATAGCTTAGTAAAGTGGGTGAGTAATTAATTGTTAAATATAAAGGTTTCAACTTGTCTCGGTCCTTTAAATTTGCCATCGTTTGTTATAACGTTAAATTTTTGCTTCCCGCAAAAAAAAAATCCAGAAGGAGGCATAGGTCTAACAAGTTACAATATTATGAAGTTCAGTTTTTAACTCTTCATACGCGTATACACGCACCAAGTATACGCCGACGATTTGTTCTAGGCGTATCACTGCGTTGTGGTTTCGTTACCATCGGTCCTGGGCCACCCAGCTTGTTGTTGGTGATGTCTCAGTCCATATATTAGATTATTGTAGCAGTTATTTTTACGAACCGTTCAACTATGGATTTATTGTGTTTCACTCTTTCTACCTCTCTTTACTTGTTCTATGTTTTCACTTGCACCTCCACTCCCTACTCAAACGCATAGCATTATTCGGAACAGTACACAGGAATGGCGATCCTCTGTACTCGAGAGCAGCCGTCCATTGACAGCGATCTCATCAACGGGCAATTATTGCGCCACCCGTTGCCCACCAAACTCGCGGCCGTGGTGTTTTTTAGACAACATCCACGACTAGTGAACACGGCACCTCCAGAGACCAAGGTCAGAATGGCCAAACATCACCATTGCCGCCGTCGACGGCGACCCCCTTCCTGCCTCAATTAATGGAAGGTACCAGGAGTCCACTTGGCTTGTTCATGCACGAATGGTAGTAGGGCATGCCCTTAATCGTGCCAGGTGAACTGCCTATCATTGGCCACCTGCCACCTGCCGCCTGCTCTCCCGGTGGCGGTACATAAACACGTTCTCACATTCAGGCAACTATTACTCTTTTTTCCTTGTACGGCCTGATTTTTTCGCGGCCTGGAGACTAATGGTAGCAGACAGATTTCGAGCGGATCACAGTCGCATTTTGTGATCCACGATCCGGCCAAAACCCGCGTGCTTCCCTTCCAATGGCCTTGCATTGGTAGCAACTGCGATCTTTTTACCATATGAAACCCTCTACTACGATATTAGTGGCAAGGTCGCCAACTTCGTAGCACTGCAGTACCTTTTTGTCATTTTAATACACAACGCTGAGTCGCTGACTGTGACGTTGTCGACGGTGAGTCTTTATATGGACTAACGCGTTCCAACAGAATTCAGTCTCGACTTGTTATTCGACTGGGCTTAAGGTTCACCAGCCTCTCATCACATACTCTCAGGCTCAAGCTGCAAGCCTGCAACTCTTGGCGAGACACTCATCAATTCAGGCTTATCTAATCCAATTGTCACGTGGACCGGTGACAATACCGTTTCTCACCGAGACGGGACAGCAACGCCTTCATAACTGTTTCGATCGCACATGAAGGCCTAGTTAATCAAAGGGTTCTTGGATGTTCTCGGCTACAGTTTTTCAGGGACAATGGAGCATCAAACTGCGGCGGATTGCAATCGCGAAGATGTGGATACACCTGTGGCGATGTGGCAACAACAGCTAATTGAAGCCTTTCAACTAGAGACAATTGGGAATATGCCGGTTACGGACAATGAGTGTATGCAATCGGTGGATTGCTTTCTCGATGCTTCTGTAGTAGGTCCATGTTTGCGCATATGGGTCCCAAACAATTTCCAAAAGCAGCTAAAATTTTGCTAGCAATCTGCTTAGAAGGAAATTTCGAGCGTGACTTGATGGATTGCTTTTGCAACGTCACGTCACGATCCACTCGAATTACTTCGTCCCTTCTTGTTCCCTTGCAGGTTTATAAAGGTCCCCCTCCTGTCATGGAATCCTCAGTCAAGTTCCCCTCGACAAACGCGTCCGTCATCTACTTGCATTCAATCTCCCGAAGCACTTCAAGCTTCCTTGCCATTTAAGCCGCTATTTTCAGTTCTTCCGCCTTTATCACATCACAATGGTCTCGCAAACGGCTAACTATGTTCGTCACATCGACTCGGAGAACACTCCTCCCGCTACACGCCTTACTGCGAAACCATCCAAAGTTCGCACCGGTATCCAGGGGGCCTCTCGTCGTCGCCGAGCTCTCGTTTCAGGCGGAGCTCATTACCTTAGGCATGCACTTGAGCATGCCAAGAAGCGCAAGGAGCAAACTCCGTCCAAAAGCCCTCTTGCTCCAGTGCGGATGGATGTCCCCACTATTTCTCGCGATGTCGAGATGGGGGACTGGACAACAGTGTCTAAGATCATCTCTCTCCCCAGACTCCTCGCTCGACCCAAGCCCACTGAGATCCCGGTGTCCACACTTCAGGCCGTGGCACCTGAACTTGTTCACACCCATATTGATTACATTCGCGATGGACTAGAATGCCTCGGGCCCGAGTAAGTCGAGATTCATCTGGTAGTCGATCGATCATCTGACGAATCCGTTTTCAGCATGCTCCGTGTCCTTGCAGGGATCAAAGCTGAACCTGCTTCCAATGTCCTCCCGCGGGAACTTTCGATAATTGTCAACGATGTTTCGTCTGACGTGCCCACCCACATGTTCGCGGTCTTCTCATCCCGCCAGCCGGCCCCTGCACGCCGTCGTCGCGTCACGTTGTTTCCTGCACACAATCTCGTTTTTGCTATCCACTGCGCGAACCTCCCTGTTCTACCCACTCCAACACCAGCAATCGCAGAGTGCGCAGGCCAGGAGATCAAAGTGCCAGTGGTTCCTTTGTGCATCCCTGCCCCTGAGGTCTTCCCTCAGCTCTCCACATTCCTATATACGAAGCGTATCGACCACCTTCTTGGGTCACTTATGCCACTACCCACCCCACCCCAGCTCTACCTCGATGATCCTACCACTGTCATGCCTCTTCTCAGACAGTTCGCTCAGAAAATTGCCGATACATTTACGGTGAGCGCTCTGCTGCGTCACATTACCAAAGTGCACAGCACGTGGCGCAATACGGTTGCACTGGGCATCGCCGACGAGCGGCTCTGGTGTGCCCTCGATACAGCATGGGAAGTGCTCCTCACGTCCCTCGCAATTTCCACGGGAAAGCCTCACCTCATGACAGAGGGCGCATAAATAGATCATCTTTCATATCGTCTGCCATCGAATTGTTTAGGATTTATGATATTTCTCACCCTCTCGCGCATGAGATCGGTAATACTTCCATCGTGTATGATTACGCAGTTAGCTATCGTCAGTACCATAGAGGCGACGTTTTTTATTGATATAATATATATGCGGAATCGTTGTGCCAATTTTCATTTGCTGCCTTGTCAAAGTAGTACCTATCATTGGGCCAAAGTTGCAATATAGTAGAAAATTGGAAAACGCTTCATAGCCTCTCCCTCGACAATCTCACGCTTGTAGTGGATGCTCTCGCAACATCTGAACTATGACGACATTTCGGGACATTTTATGGGAGGCGCATATATCGCTCTAGCTGCAGCTGGTGTCGTGCCTGCGCTGATGCAGGCAGCAGGACGCTGGTCCTCGGATAAGTTCCAAAAATACACTCGGAAGAGTCAAGACATTTCATCCATGGGTTTAGGCGGGTTTAGGGCACCGTGACTCATCGAAAATTGACAACGCTGCATGCTCGTTTCAATTCTGTATTAAATCCATTGCCTCGACTGTATTTCTTGAGAGTACTAGTGTTGTGTGCTTGTCGCCTCGTCTGGAGTCCTATATGAAGAAAGAAAAAATATGACAAATTTGGAATAGCCCTATTATCATAAGCGTTTTTGTCGAGACTTCAAGACTCGTCTTTATCTGCCTTACACGTTTTGTCCCCGGCGTGCTGACTGGTAGCTACGCGTACGATATGATCTGCGAGTTTCCTTGCATACACGGGCTGTACAGTTTCTCATTGTCAAAACGGTCCTCCGAGTTGGAGCTGATATTGAGCTGGACTCGGAGGTTCCGGCTTGCCCTAAACACCTTGTCTACGAGTGCCAGTCGCCGTTGACAATCATGATGGAAGCACTTTCACTTGATTACGGTGACACTTACGCCAACTCGCTCATGGCAATTCTACTGTTTCTAACATTATGCGTCGGCATATCTCTGGCAGCACCATTTGCACACCACTGAGGGAAGAGTACGTGTATCAAAATAGAAGGCTTCTGGCTGTACCAGTGGTAGCAGTTACCAGCCACACTTCCCCGACTTCCCGTGGTCGACAACACATAGGATCTTGTCCGTGTATAATTAGCATATACAGGAGAGACTAGTAGCCAAGGCAATGAGAAATTGATCGGAAGTGGAAGTCGGGAGACCTGGTGCGCATGTACGCTGTGGATCTAATAAAGTCTGGCACTGATATGAGTCTAGACATGATTAGACTACGAGCCTACCATGATACAGTACTGCTACTCGAGGATGAGCACACCGCACACAGAAGCTTCGTTGGCGTGTATGGAATGAGCAGCGCCAATCTGATATTTACGAAGCGCGCACTTCTCCCTGAGCAGGGTGGGAGGGACCGGCTATTGAACCTAGTAGTGATACAAACACTTTGCTTTTGGAAGCCAATCAGTTCGAGAGAACAACGCCGAAGTGCGCGAAGGTGCTTAAACTTGAGGCTCGAGGTGAGGCTAGGTGAAGGCTTGCTTATTCGCGCTACCTGCCATTGATCAAAAATCTTATTATAGCAACAATGTTTTGTCCGTCAGACTGTAGAATTCAATAATTGGCTGTGAATATTGCTGTGCAATCCATTGACGACTATGGGCAACCATGCATCCGAGGACTGGCCTCGGACCCACAAGGCCACAGGGGTCGCCTGGTAGTTATCCTCTTCCGCAGTAGACTGCCTTGAATCTGACGCAGGTATTTGCAATTGACTGGTGAGTCTTGTCCACTAGTGTAACGTCGGAGCCAACGACTTCAAGCCATGTATCACCTCTTTGCAGGCTTTCAAAATGCCACATGCCTACTTCATTTGATCAATGCAATTTATATATTCTGGTCCATCAGAAGAGCGGATGGCAAACCGTTATCAATCATTCAAATCTCGCATAATGTTTCTCCCCTGCATGTATATGTGGATCTCAGGTAGGTCTGTTTCGACCGCATTGGTAGCACGGAGATTATGATGACCTTCGACGACCTTTGACGAAGATACGATCTTGGCAACATGATATGAATGACCCAGCATCTTCACGGTAACTTAGCGACTCCCTCTTCGTTTCCGACACTAATGTACATGGTCGCCCAGTACCTTGTACTTGGCCTCCTTCGCATCTGTCGCTCTGTTTTGTTGCAAGCACAACAACTGCATTGCGGTATGTATTTTTTTATTCTGAATGCATTTACATCATCCCTGGCGACGTATGCTGCCGTAGCGTCCATTTCCTCCCCATCACACTCATATCTCCTCACTTCTCGGTCGCTGAGACCTTCTACTGACTTAACTATCTCAAATAAAGTTATTGCGCCAGATGGATTTTCACGTTCGTAAGTGCACCCACAATTATTTATGTTCTTTGGACGATGTTGTGATTTACCAGAACGACACTTGCCGGAGGAACATTTCCCGGTCCTCTGATCAAAGCTAACAAGGTATCAATTTCACCTGCATCCTTTATGTGTTTCTAAAGTTTCGCATATAGGGAGACCACTTCGCCATAAACGTGGTGAATAAGCTAAATGATAGCTTTATGCTCACAAGCATCAGTGTTGTGAGTGACCAAATCTACCTGTAATTTTTTTTGGTAGTTAAATGATATTGCAGCATTGGCATGGGCTTTTCCAGAACGGAACGAACTATGCAGATGGTGTTTCATTCGTCACACAGTGTCCCATTCCCCCAAACTACTCATTCCTTCACGCCTTTGATGCCCCGAATCAGGCTGGCACTTACTGGTACCATAGCCATTATTCCACACAGCAATGGTTTGTCGACTCAAACTTTTCTGACAAGATGTTTCTGAGATCCTCATATCCAGTGATGGTCTCCGTGGCCCTTTGGTAATTTATGATCCCGATGATCCCCTGTCTTATTTGTATGACGTCGATGATGGTAAGTGAATGAACATATAATCATAGTATTTAGCTTAAATCATTGCTAGAGACCACAATTATTAGCATTGCCGACTGGTAAATCCTAAAATTCATTTCTAGTTGCCTTCTCGTCATCTTTCCACAGGTATCATATCGTGTCCACAATTCTACGTTACATAATTGGCGTCAGCCCGGATTCAACGTTGATTAATGGGCTTGGTAGATATGTTGGCGGGCCAGAATCCGAACTTGCCGTTGTCAACGTCGAGTATGGAAAGAGATACAGGCTGCGACTCATTGGGATGTCCTGCGAGCCTTCATTCAAATTCTCTATCGACGGACACAACCTCACTGTGATTGAAACAGATGGTATACTTACTGAGCCACTCTTAGTCGACTCGCTCCGGATTTTCGCCGGACAACGGTACTCTGTCATCCTCACAACTGATAAGCCCGTGAACAACTATTGGCTTCGCGCGCTTCCAAGTACCACTGGGTCCACGTTTGACGGTGGCCTTAACTGCGCCATCCTGCGATACATAGGTGCACCAGCTGCAGATCCAGCCACAGACTACACAGACAGCACCATGCCGATGCTCGAGACGAACCTTCATCCCCTCATCAATCCTGGTGCAGCTGGAATTCCTGAGTATGGCAAGGCGGACATCAACTTGAACTTGGTCGTCGACAACATCGGTGGACTGTTTTTTATCAACGGTGCCGTCTACGAACCTCCCATTGTGCCAGTACTCCTGCAAATTCTTAGTGGTGCACAAGATGCCACCGATTTGATGCCCATAGGAAGTGTTATTGTGCTGGAGGCTAATCAAGTCGTGGAACTGACTATGACTACAAACGGCTTCGGCGCACCAGTAAGCAATATCTACTATCCCGTAATTGCATAGTGTCTGATGGAATTTAGCACCCGATCCACTTGCACGGGGTTTGCATTCGGTCTTCTTGGTGTTGAAACATTCTGACAGACATCTAGCACCCGTTTGATGTCGTACATTCAGGTGGTGCCAGTGACTTCAACTATTTGAATCCTGTGCGCAGGGATGTTGTCTCTAGCGGTGCTGCAGGTGAAAAAATGGTTATTCGATGGGTTACAGATAATTCCGGACCTTGGTTTTTGCACTGGTGAGCATCCCAGCCCATTTTTCATAATTCCTGCTCACCCTCCGGCAGTCACATAGACTGGCACCTCAATGCGTGAGTCTTCTGGGCCGAACTTCGTTACTACGAGACTCACTACTCTAGTGGCTTCGCGATCGTTATGGCTGAGAGTCCCTCTGAAACTCAGATGCACCTGAAGGGATTACCGAGTGAGTATTACATGGGATTTGGTCCTACACGACTCATCGCGATTGTTTCCTAGCTGCCTGGGGAGACCTTTGCCCTGCATACGATTCGTTGACATCACAATTGGGGGCGGTCGACTCGTATGCAGAAGCAGCTAATATAACGACCCTGCTTCTTCCTGATCACTAAAGACATTTTTACCAGCAGGGCTGGGGAAAAAGCGCAAGAAAGGGTGGTTCTATATTGCTTAGAACAATTGATACGTGTACTGACACCGAGGAACATTTGTGTCTTACATGAGACATTCATACGACCTACGCTCTGTACTTGGAATTCCTAGATACAATGCCCAGCAATGTCGAACACAGCGTTTTCCAGTACATATGGGTAGTGCTGCATCATAGATTGTCGATAGGAAGCTCCTATATATTACACGGCGCGCATCGGACAAAATTCTGCATGGTACAGCCCTGCAGTCGCGACAAGTAGTTCAAATATTGACAAAATGCACAACGGACGTGACTGCAGCCATGTACAGGATCAGCTTATATGCAGTGCACAGTCCAAATAGTTCTACTTAGCCACCAATTACTGCACGAGCATTCTACAATGTACAAGGTTCTCAAATATCAAATATGACTGTCATGTGGCATACATCTTCCGGCAAGACCCCACTCCTCGAGCCTAAGAGTATTTCCAGAAAAAATAGTGATTAATGTGTGCGATGTCAGGTATCAATAACAAGTACATGATAGAGAGATCAACGAAGGAGCGTGCATCGTCTTAACTCTACGTATATCAACATAGTAATTCCATCCTTGTAGTCAATATCAAGGCTAGCGTTCGTGGTCAAATGCTCTTAGGGTTGTCACCTGACTTCGCAGCCAGGCTCACAGCAGCGAGCTTCTCACTAACATCGATACCCTCCGCCGCCTTCCCATTTGGACCCTTTGCAATAGATATATCGTCCTGAGACTTGAGCGATCGTTCTTCGTCGGCGTTGTGATGGTGAACGACATTTATATCCTCGAGCATTTCCTTTTCAGACTCTTGCTTGAAATGGTACAAATCATCGTTCAGCTTCTGCGCCTCTGGTGACAGGTGATTGACGAGCGATGTCATGCGCCTCATCGCCATCATACCCAGCACGGCTTTTCGGACTGCAAGTTACATTGCTCAGTAATTTCACGAGTGGAAGGGGAAAATGAGACACACATGTCCTCTTTGCATCGAACGCCTTCCTGACATGTGGCAACAAGTCTCTTGGCTCACCCGTCTCGTTCTCGACGAAGTGAGGTACCTCAGATGTGAGCCACTCGTGCTCAAGCATCTGTGCTGCAGTCGGACGTTCGTCGGGATCGACAGTCAAGCAAGTAGCAACAAACGTCCGCGCAGTGTCAGAGACAAGGGACCAATACTCATCTGTAGACGTATGAGGTGGCTCGAATGGCAAACCATAGAAGGAACAGACCAGGCTCAAACTTATAATCTCCGGCGATGATGGCTTCCATCTCTTGTCGTTGAGTGTCACGATCGAAAGGGGTGTAACCTATCCCAAGCTTTCAGCGCTAAAATCATTACAAGCGTGTCATATATGCGCACCAGCAAGCAGGAAATACGTGATTACGCCCATGGCCCAGACGTCGACAGGTTTTCCATGACCCGCTAGAAACAGTGTTAGGATAATGGTGAATGTCGTAGAATCACATTGTCGCACTCTTTTTGAAGATCTCGGGCGCCATGTACTACCAAAGCGTTTTAATCCACGTGCGGGAGCCGAACAACTCGAACTCACCCCAGGTGTGCCACAAACTTCCGTCAACATGCTCAACTTGTTCTCCGCCATGACTCGACTAAGACCGAAGTCTGCTATCATGATTTCCGAAGTCTTCTCAGGCTTCGACCGGAAGAGTAAGTTCTCCGGCTTGAGGTCACGATGCACGATCCCACACTCATGGATATATTTAACTGCCTGAAATATGGTGCGGACGAGCCCAGCCGCGTCACTTGCGTGTGGAATTGGTGATGTGTGAAATGGGAAGTAGGGGATACTTACGCCTCAGTGTATTGTCCCCTAGCACATATGCTATCGAAGAGTTCGCCACCAGTGCAAAGATCGAAGCAAAGGTAGAGGTTGTGTGATGTCTAAAAATATAAATGGAGCATTTGGTCAACATGCTGTACAAGAGCGTGTTCGCTGTGCACGGACCTCGAAGTAGTCATGCAGTGTCACAATATTCGGGTGACCACTCGATATCCTCTTCAATACAGCGATCTCATTGCGGACCTGAAGTAAAACGTAATCAGCACTGTTGGTCCGATGTTATATCGCAAAAAAAGAGGGAAAGTGGTTGTGGGCCTGCAAAATTTTGGATCTGGCGGCTGATAGATCATTGGACAGAATGTGCCCTGATCAGCGATCGTTATCAATATCATCGCAGCGCGCTTGTTTTTCCCATGACTGACGCGCTGTAACGTTACTTGACAACATGATATAATCAAACAATACAGGTTCAATTGCAGGATGCGCCCGCAGCGGCAGCGCAGCTAAACGATACAAAGCGGGATAGTGTATCCATGCTCACCATGTGCTCCCTCCCTTCCATGAGTTTCTTGTTAATGACTTTGCAAGCATAGTATTTGCCTGTCTTGATGTGTATGGCCTCCTTCACGATAGCATATGTGCCGCTTCCAAGCGTGCGACCAGTGCGGTACTGCACCAAGCAGGCAGATGATGTCAGAACGAGAAAAGCAAGAAGAACGATAATGCATGCGATGAGGAACAAACTATCCCCTCCTTTCTGGATGATAACTGTGGGCGGCAGAATTCAATCACATACCTGACAAGGAACGGTAGCAGATTGAGGCGGCATAATTGCTCCCTGAGCGTAAGAGTCCTGATTCTTGTGGTCAGATGAAACGAACAAGGGGCAGATGGAAGAATTGGGAGAAGATGAGATTTAGACGCAGCTGTAGAGCAGACCAAATCAAATCTCACCTCAATGACAGACTCCGGTATGCTTTCCTTTTCTGGGGGTGGCGGCGGCGGCGTGGGCGGCTTGCTGACTTGTTCTGGTTCCAGTTGTGGCTCTGGCTCCGGCACAGCAACAATGGTCGGTGGGGGCGATGATGCGACCGAAGAAGTTTGCTGTTGCGGACGCTTGCTCAATCCCACTGACGCTGCCAACGTAGAAGTCGAGAACCGTTGCGAGGGCTTTTGAGGCGGAGTGAGGGTTTGCGCACGTCTCGATTTGCGCTTTTCTGCCTGCTGGCTCACGTTATTCCCCATGCTGTCGCGTCAGGACTCGAAAAATGTCAATAAGTCGGTGAGGGATGGTCACGGCGAGGGACGAAGCAGTAGGCTCGCTGCCTGGAATTATCAAAGGTCGAAGGGTACCAGGCAAATATATACCGTTTGAAATACGAGTGGGCGCTTCGCTGACCTTCTATGTCGAATTCGAAGCACAGGTATTACTCTACCAAATTGCCGCAGAGCTGTGCACTTCGACTGCACCGCGTTCCTGGACAACGTCTCTCTTTGTCCCTGTAACCTGTTCTTTCGTCGAACTCCTTACTCGACCCGAGTCAAGTTTTAAGCTTAAGGCTGGGTAAGAACCTCTGCTGGCACTGGCTATGCTAGGCAGGAACACGAGGTTTTCATCTCGGATCCCCGCCGCTTACAAGCGAGGTAAACCAATCACTGCAGGTAAGTAGCCCTAGCTGGATTCGACTCCGAAGAGTTAGCATTTCACACTAGTACTCTGTCCTCAACAAGCCCCGCTCCATATTGATCAAGTTGTACGTCAATTCACCGGTCTGCATAGTGATTCTCATATTGATGCCATTTAGTTACCAGGTGCCTCGATACCTGTGTGCCGTTGGCTGGACAAGTCAGACCTTCATTAACATTGGTCATTAATCAGTAATGTTTGAACAGTCAGAGGAACCCACAGCTTCAGACGTGTTTGACTTGCGCAAATTTTGGTAGGCTATGTCCTATCATGTCTTGACCAATGACACGGACTCTGAATCTACCGATGCACCATAGTGCACACGATATGGGATCATTACGGGGTTTTTGGGGCACTACTTGACTGATAGTACCAAGACTACCGGAGCAATCTAAGTAAAAGGTAAGGTCTAGGGAGAACAGTGTGGGAATAATCTTCACGCGAACAACGCACGTCGCAAGCCAAGATCAGCACACTTGCAAGTCGTGCCCAGAGAATCTTCCAAACGTTGTACTGATCTAATGCGTCTGTTAGTACAGGTCGAAACAAAAGGGGCTACAATAGAGGGGCGACCATGCGTTTGGTTCAGGCTACCGTCCAAGTAATAATTAATAATACTTTCCATTATGATGCATGTCTCGGAATCTTAAATGGGCATGCATATGCGTGTGACTGTCACGCAATTCAAGGACAAGGACATGAGTGCATGATATGCAGACACGAATCTTCACTCCCATCAAGTTTGAACTTGCCAGCATCTGACCAACATAAGCTTTATTCACCATGCTCAGGCTCGCTCAGTGTCACGATGCTACTACATCTTGCGTTCATGAACATCGGCTGGCTCAGAAGCGGTTACGGTCCCGAACTTCCTGTCCGTACCCGAGTTCGTGATATAGTAGCCTGCCACAAATTAGTCTTAACGTAAACTCACGTACAGTCCAGAAAACCAACGGATCGTCCCGTTCTTGCTTTCTTGCATACTTGGATGTGGACTACGACGAAGAACATACCAGTTTCACTAGATTTTACAATATCTCACCCAGTTAATTGTCATTATGCTCATCCGTCTCGTCCCCTCCGTATCACATGGCACTGTTCTCTACAACGTCTCTTTTCCGATCAACTTTCCTAATTTGCCTACTCCCCCTGCGTGGTCAAACCAGTTACACCATCTGACCTCGGTGTTGCGCCTCGAACCTCCCCAGAACATCCATATGTTCGACCGTTCAGTTGGTCTGGTCGCCCGGATAACTGAAGTCATGTTCGATCTACCAACCAAGGAGGTCGTCGTGAACTTCGTTGATGGGCGCATTGAAAAGCTGCCTATGAACTCGCACTGCATGCAGATGCTTCAGGGCGTCCTTGACGACGTTAAAACGTGCACCGAACAGGAATCTCGTCGAGACAGCTTCGAATACGCCACCTCCACTAGTATCTGCAGCAATGCGGTCAGTTCGCAGGATATCCCTAGCGCCCCCCCGAAGTCTCCGAAATTGAGCAGGCATAAGAAGCAGCGCTCCCTGCTGTTTTCTTTGATCTCGTACGTATTGTCGTGTTCCTTGTGCTTTCTCTATACTGACTTGTTTTGGGCTGCTCTTCAGCTCGTTAGTACCACGTTCTTTGTCTCCGCCCCCGGCCCCTCCTCCATCACCTACCACACCCTACCCCTCGTCTCCCTCTCCCCTTCCGCCAATCCCCCCTATTACACCCCGCAATACATCATTTTCTCCCATCCCGCAATCTCCAGTCTCCCCCTGTAACTCCGCTTTCCCACCATCAACAGATCCGCCAATTCTCCGTCGTCGTGCACGCGCTACACTTATAGATGTTTGGAGACGACATGTTGTTTGCGCGCTTTCGGCTCACAACCATTATGCAGGGTACACTGAATGGGTACTCCGTGGTATGGCCACCAGTGCTCGCACCGAGCTGAGGGAAATCGAGAAATCCTGGCAGCCTGGGCGCGGTGCGACTCGCAGACATGGAAGGACACAAAGTGAAGGGAGACTCGCTCTTGACTTTGGTGAGCGCGTCTCTGAAGAGACGCAAGGACAATGGCGTGTACCTTCGCCATTTCTTGATGAAGTCGAGGGCGAAAATGATGATTGCGTCGTATATCCTCGTCACCCACAAGGTTTGGTTGATTCCATTCTAGAATGCTGTATTTCTGAAAAGTTCGTAGCACACGAATGCGGTGCAATTCGCCATGTCCGTAACCCAAGTACATGCGATGAACTGGAAGCGTATGCTTTTGAGTTCAGCGTGGAGAATGGCAGCCTCTTACGGGAGAGCTTCGGCTTTGGAACTGATGTTTTTGGTGATGTGTGGGATGATGATGACCATGTCGCTTTCAATAATTTTGGCGCCCTGCGCCTAGGAGCGGAGTTCACCTTCGACAACGGACAGCTCAATTTCGACGAGGATTTTGGAAGTGATCACGAGGGTGGCGACTATTATGCTGACATGACATTTGCTGCTATGCCGTCCGATGCCACCGAGGAAGATGAGTCAGATGAAAGCCAAACATCTTTGCGTACCCCCGAGGACGGTGAAATGCTACCTCTGCCGCTCCCAGCTACATTACCAAGATTATCTGAGAACGGTTCATGCTTTCAGCAGCGCAGTCATTTTGACGCCATTCCGACGGTCGTCTCAAAAACTACTTCTTCCCGTCCAAAAACTCGACCTCTTCGTCCAAGCCCCGGAGATCCTTCTGCTGTGCCGCACGTATGTGCCAAGCCCACTACCGCGGCGCCATGGAACTGCCGATCGGCGATGCATCCACAGCAGTTATCCACGCATTTCCCTTCATCGCCGTCTCGTCTGCCCAAGCGCATGTCCATTCCGAACGCGGAGGAACTTATTTCCACTCGTGTCGCCTTACTTTCACGAATTCGAAGTGCTCTAACTTATGTGCGTACTCGTGCACGCGAGGAGCATTGGGGCTTGTTATGGTCACAAAACTCTTTTGGGTGTGAATTGATGGACCCTGAATCTGAGGGGCAACTTGAAATTAGGGCACGCAGGCGTGCATGGAGTGCAGGCATCAAAGTCACTGCGGCTTCTGCGCCAACCTTATTTTCGGTCGCTGTCCAGGGTTCTAGCCCGGGTACGAGGGTATGGGATGGTTCGGTCCCATCTGCTGTGCATATCCCTTATCGACCTCCTGGACTCGTACCACCTGTGACAAAGGTGAATGGACCAATTATTCCGACTGGCCTTGTGTTGGGCAGACCTCTCAGGCGGTCACCATTAGCCATGTATGTGTGGAGCGCGGATGATGTGGCTAAGAAAGACACTGGTCGTCACAGCAAATACGGAGATATTGACCTGAAACGTGGTGGAGAAACAGCGGCTTTGAGGCGCCCCCTGCGTGTTTCATTCCTTGAAAGTCCCACCAAGTTGCTTCCTGTTCGTGAGGAAGGCGACGACGAGGAAGGAAGAACCTCCAAGATCGACTTCCCGCAAAGCCCTACGTCGCCGACTTCACCGACTTCACCTGAAGTTAACTCAGGCGTCACTCCGGACGAGAGATATGGTATCAGCCAGGGTGATGTCAGTGCGACTGATGATCCATTCTTTTGTTCTCCCTTTCATGCGCGTGCGCGGACTACGAGCATGTATCCTTGCTCTCAATCCTCGCAGGAACTCCCTATGTTTAGGCCAAGGACGCCTCCCCCATCGTATCAGGCTGCCATTGGTGAAGATAACACCGATGATGATGACGATAACGACGATGAGTCCGACAATGGAACACTCGATGCCTGTGCACTTTTATTCCAACCTCTTTCAACGCTGTGCTTGACATCGCCCACAAAAACTACACCTACACGGCCTCCGCTAGTAACAGCTCCGCCATTTACTCCTCGAGTTCGTGCTGTATCCTTACCCACGTGCCCACGTCGCCCACGTAGTCCATCTCTCTCTTCGAGGTCAACCGATGAGGAGTATCAGGATCTGTCGCAGGCTTACGTTGCGCCACCACCAACCACCCCCATTACCGCAGCGCCAACCATTGCAGTGACTGAGTCTTACCTCACTTATGCGCACCTTCATGCCCCAGTGCCTATCAGTGGGAAAGCTAGCGTGACAAAAGGCATGTGTGAGAAGGGCAAGGGAATAGCAAGCCAGGAGGTGGTGTTTGAGCGGAACGGGGAGGAATATACTCTGGGTCTGGAAGTGGCGTTGGGTAGGGCAGAGGAGGGACGCTCAGTCTGGTGAAAACAGAAATGCAGTTCAATAGAACCAAAACTTGGGAACCGACTACTAACTGCTCTAATCCTTATTCGTGTCTATCATGCTTTCTTTTGCACCAGCTTTCGCGTTTTCACCCCCATGTAAGTGCGTGCTATCTTCTGGTGTACCCGCGAGCTCATCTGTTTCTTTGTAGAGGATCTTAATTGACACATCTCCGGCTTCTGCCTAATAGTCAGCATTATAATGCTTTTACCTAGACCATCAGATATATTGATGGAATCTACTGGTCATGTGTCACGTAGTCTCAGCAGGCCTGGAACTTTCATTGCTTAATGGATCCTCGCGCACGGTCATAAAATTCATTTATCTTGAGCTTGACGTGTTGCACCCGTCTTCCTTCGTCAATGAGCACGTGGCATATACGTTTCTGCTAAGCATCAGTCGCGTTTACCAAACGCCGCTCCCTACAAGCAGACAATGACAAAAGTGGGTTGCCACCGTCCAGACGTAAAGAAAGTTGAATTCAAGCATGGTAGCGAACCGATTTGGCACGGATCACAACCTTGAACTAGAGTTGTGATAGAGTTGCCGTGAGTGCTCGGTAGCACTGGACGCAATTAATTCTTCAGTTTGCCGTTGATCGGTGTTCCACCCCACCCCAACCCCAAGCCAAATCAATCAACTATGTAAGTATGTACGAAATCGTGATCTATACACGCTCAAATTAGATAAAAATAAATCTCCGTTACATAATGAGCTTGCAGGTACGAACGGA